GGAATCGAACCTACAACCTTTGGAATGCTAGTCCAATGCTCTGCCAACTGTGCTACGCGGTTGTACTTGTTGGCTTGCACCAACACAGAAAATATCATTATTACTAGATTACATTGATATCGAAGGAACTAGATTCTGTTCCGAAATATCGCATACTCGAACCGACCAGACCGCGTAGCTCAGTTGGCAGAGCATTGGGCTAGTATTCCAAAGGTCGTAGGTTCGATTCCCACCGTGGTCGGGCATATTTTTCAAGCTCGCCCGGTGTGGATATAAACTCAGAGTAACATCACAAACATTATATTAATAAAGGTTCCTTTAGAGTACATTCTGGAAATCTATCTGTTTATAATTGTTCGCAAAATTATTACGTGACAAATTGCATTTCAGACCCTTGGGCTTGGCGAATGTGTTAATTCATTCCGGTAATTTTTTAAATTTAGCGTAGGTCGTAGGTCGACGCCCTGGAAAAGCATGCCAATACAAAATTTTTATTATTAATGATACAGAAAAGAAAAAGTAGCAAATAATATTTGAGTATATATTTTTTGCAAGAATGGAATATTTTGCGTTTGTTATTTTGCGCAGTATATATTGCGCTCAGATCATTCAAGTCCCGCGCGACCGTCGCGAACTTCCTTCGCAACCATGGCGTCCTTGCGATGGAAGATTGTGTTGTGATTTTTTGAACTTTTTACTTTTAATTTCTGGTAATGGAGTGCAATAGATGAAACCCACTTCAACTACGGTGGATATTTCAACTACTTTTGGCCATAATATAAACTGCAGTGCAATATAAGCGTTTGCATGCTTGAGCAGAGTGCTGAGGGGTGTATCGTATATCAGACGAGCTGATATCAGAATGTCTGAACAACCAGCGTTCAAAATTGATTTATTCTGACTTTTGAGTACTAACACTAACACACAGAAGGAACATGGCTTGACATGGCCGTACAGTCTTTGGTCGGCAACAAACATGACTTTCTTGTAAACGAACCGTGCCAGAATGAAATAAGACCTCTTTTGGCAGAGGAAAAGGCATGTTTCATTGTCGGTGTCATGCAAGATGGCAGCAAAACGCGAGATGATTTTGGTGTTAGTTTACAAATTGGCGGAAATGAAGAGCAGGGCAGGGGCATCATGTTTAATAAGGTGATAGAGTTCACTGGCCTATCAGAAAGCAAAGTACTAGGTGTACAGCTGGAAGCGTTTGAACCCACACGAGTTTCGAATGACAAATCGTTCATCCGAGTCGCGGATATCCACAAAAACTCTGTTGCTTCTGTGGACGGAAGATTAAAAATTGGCGACCGTATTGTGAAGGTTAATGGTAATTCCCTTACAGGACTTTCTACAAACGAAGCTGGGTATATTGCTATATATTGTTTGATAAATATATCAGATTAATTTCATATATTGTTGTTTATTTAATCGCGTTTAATTGTCATGCTGATACTAAACATGTTATATTCGTGGGAATATGTATTGATATTCTAGTATTTATGGTAAAAAACGCTTGGTATTGTTCGCTTACATGTTAAAATATTGCCCAATTTAATGGTAACGTGCGTGTGAATGCTTCAAACGTTTTGCGTGAAATGTCGGTTGCCTAGGATCAATTATTTGACAGCGAGTAAAGTTTAATTGACCCGGAATACACAAAAGCCTATTTCAATATTTTTAAAATTGAATATCCCTTATCTTGCCTTTATAAAGATTAACAAATAAGAAACACTTTTCCCAGTCAAACATTCTGGCGAAAACCTTTTCATATAACGCTGAAGTAATCGCTAGTATTGTGTAAATAAACACGAAATGCGTCAACAATTCGTGTAACAATTAGAAAGTCAAATTGCGTCAATAATTTTAAAGTGTTTTTTCGATTGCGCATTCAGTGAATATTTGTTTAATATGTCACTAATTTCATATGTAATAGAGATATGTAATTTATTGTGCATTTTCTAGGCAAATTCTCGAAGGCGCAGTTTTGTCAGGTGATGTAAGTCTGACAGTGCTGTCAGAACCACAGGATGAAAATTCGATAAATGACACTGTTCAAACGGAATGTGAAGCTGAATTGAAACGCACAGTAGATCCAGTAAGGAATGTTAATTATGAGACCTTTACAGTCGTCTTCACTTAACTTTTGCCAAAATGGTCCCAATTTTGTTTCGAAGTTCACAAATTAGTTGCTAAGTTACAACGTTCGAAGATACAAAGTTTGTAAGTTCACAAACCGGTTTGTAAACTAAGCATTTGATTGGCTTCTTGCAATTTATGGACCAATTAGAACTGAACTTTGAAACAAATTTTGCGAACTTCTGAACCGAAGTATGGAACAATTTGGTAAAAGTTTTGTGAAATCGATTGTAAAACAGATTAGTGATTTGACTCTTAAATTGACGATTTAGCCTAATTATTCATCTAACTTGCCAACCCTGTCTGGCATATGAAAACGACTGCTGATGCTACTATTCCTGTTCATCAGCTTATGGCGAAATTTGAAATGTGACATCTTTACAGGCATTTAATTGAGTACATATGCCAGGATAAGAATCGTATACGACTAGACGGATCAGTCAAGTTGTTGATGTGCCTCATACAGGTATAGACACAATATTTCTGGTTGTCCCAATCAGGTATTCCAACAGTTGAATGGTGAAAATGCTAACCTGTTCTATTCCCAGCAAGAACATTCTGAAATTAACCCATTGAGCATCAGGACTCTCTCATTGACGAGTTAAATTGTTTGGTGTTACTGTAGATGCAATAAAATAATAACATGGGGTGCAATGCAACTTAATGGATTGGATTACATGAAAATTGCTGTAGAGTTGGTGAGCATTGCTGTAGAGAACCACTGTACTCCACAGAAATTTTCAACATCATTGCCGTGGAGAAGTTTTGAGCATGAAATTTGAACTTGGAAGATGTGTGGATGGCTAAAATCATCATCCTCAAGTCTCTTGGATTTGTAACTTACAGGTTTTCTCCATTTTGTTTAGGATTCCGTGAAAAAGATTCATGTTTTAAAAGATTCACGAGGTTTGGGCATTCAAATTGTTGCAAGAAAAAATAAAATTATTGTTACTGGGATCTCGGAACATGGAGCTGCGTACAGGTTTGAATCGTTTTTTTTTAACATGCTGCCTTTCAAAAGTAGGTGTTTTGTCCTTGGCCATCAAAGCATGGGCGGATTTACTGGGGCGGGGTGAGAGGGGGATTAAACCCCGCCCTAGAATCTCTTTAACCCCTCTTATAAAGTGTTCACCCACCAAAATTTCGCTTCACCCCTCCTATTTTGTGTGAAAGTCTTTAACCCTAATGCCTAACCCCTGCCAAAGCTCACTCCACTAGAAATTTTTACACCCCTCCTTTTAAATCCGCCCTTGCATCAAAGTTATTTACCACAATTGTATATATGTAATTACTGTGCACAATGAAACATTAATGAGTTTGCTTTGCATTGAATTTAGTCATTTAGAGCCCATTTCAGACGGCATACTTTTCATGTGTGGAACTTAATTGACGTATTAGGTCCAGCAGAAGAGCGATGTGTGAATCAATTAAGTACAGCAGAATTTGTAGGGGCAAAACTTCAACACAAGTTCAGCAGATCCTGTCACATTATGCAACGTTGGAGCGACATTGATTCATACCAGTATCCACTCCTGTGCCAAACCTAACTCAACTTTTTGAAATTTGTAGTATCAGATTGGCCATCTTGTAAATATATAAATTAAAATTAAAATAGATTTACCAGAGTACCCCCAACATAGAGTACCCCCAACCTTGTCAATGACATTATATTTGTACACTGTTTGAATCTCTGCCGTTCTTGTATTGCTTCAACTTTGCATCTACAGTAATACTATTAAGTTTGACACATGGAGAGTATGTTGTCTGAAACAGGACTTAAGCCTTGGGCATACTAGGAAACATTGTTTTGGAAACATTTGTGATTCTCGATGTTTCCTCAAATGTTTCCCTGTTTGCCCACCCATTGAAACATTGTTGCGGCAACAAAATTTGCTTCCCGAGAAGCAAAAGTGTTTCCTAACGAATTCAGAAACATTTGATGTTTACCTATGTTTCTCACTAATGTTTCCTAGTGTTTGCCCACTCTGGGAAACATGGCGAAACATTGGCAGGAAACAATGTTTCCACAACAATGTTTCCTAGTTTGCCCCGGGCTTTACACTCTGGCGAATGTACAGTATCTGAGTGTACTGGGTAAAACATAAAGTTTTAAAACATTCTACCTCCCCCCACAATTGTATGACAGCACATAAACTATGTGTTTTTTTTTAATGCAGGGATGGTCGGTTACATGTTGGTGACGAACTGGTAGCCATCAATGGCAAGAGTCTTGCTGGAGTAGAGAAACAAGACGCAATAAATTTACTTCGATCTTCTCCAAGATTAATACAAGTCATTGTTAATTCAAAGGTTTGTTCAATCGTTTCTTTTTCGTGCAAATTGTATTCTTTAACCCACACTCTCTCCTTGATGGGTAAAATTGTCTGGCGTTAGACAGAGTAAAATAATAAAGTACATAATAAAGGGTTAACCCATATGCACCCTACTTTGTTCTTCTACTCTGGCTAACACTAGACGATTGTCCTCACTCTGTTTACAATCAATGCTAAATCACAGATTTTCACGTGTTCATACAACGGCTGCATTTCAAGCCACAACAAGTGCAACTTCAAACTGGGTTCAGCAGAACTCTTCCCAACCATAAAACCATGTCTTCAACTTCTAAGACTGTATTAAAATTCATACGATTGATGATATACGACGAACTATCATTACTACCATTTATTTGGAGAAGTTTGTTTTGGCCGCCGCCGTCGCATTGCCGTCCTAAAATCGTAAAGTCTGTATTTGATTCTCACTGCAGACTCATAAACTTATGTGAAACAAGTCAGTCAACACTATACCAAAAGTCAGGATTTTTTGGTCACTAATTCTGGAGTAGGAAATCATCTAAGCCCAAAATTTATTTCACAGGAAAATTTGTTTACCCTGTAGCTGTGCTCTGTGATGTCATAAGGTGGCCACCATGCACACCCCCACACACCCCACCTATGCATACCCCCACTCATACCCCATACTGTTCCCACATGCACATCCTATACTTACCCTCCACTCATGCACACACCCACTCTGGGCACTCCCCTCCCCCCCCTCCCCCCAACTAGAGTGGATCGATATTGCAAATACCGAATACCGATATACCGCCATCAGAATACCGGTATACCGGTATTTTTAACATGTTTTTTTAAGTCAAACTGAACTGCTGACCGTCGAGAAAAATCAAGTTTTGACAAAATACTAATGTGGCACATACTGTTATTAGTGCAAATATCACAAGATTCGCATTATCAAGCTATGTTAACGGCGCTAAGCGGCAATTATTAGTAGGCTGTTGATTGGGCGTCGAAGTGTCGAATCTGTGAGCATTAACTTTGCTTTCTAAACGTGATTGTAAGCAAGTTTTACTTGAAATAGCGTTTCAATTCGATATTAGGCAGCAAAATACCGAAATGTCAGTATATCGGTATTTTTAAATTGTCAATATCGCCAAACCGGTATCTAAACAAATACCAGTATACCGGATATATCCGGTATATCGATCCACTCTACCCCCAACTTATAGAGATCAGCCGCATTGGTGCTGAACTTCATTCCATAGTGAGGTTTATAATCAGGGATCAAAATAACATCTGAAAATATTGTTTAACTCCAGAACCAAGATTCTGATTCATCAGAAGACGAGATGTCCATGCAACCTTCGAAACAAAACACTGAAGAGGTCGGTTTAAAGAAATTCATTCGGCGAAGAACCGAGAAAAAACCCGCATCGCCGAACAGACAACATCTGTACGAAATCACAGATGGAAATACTCGGCCTGTGGTTTCTGAGGCTCTTGAAACAGAACAAACCTTGGTTAGACCACGCTCGCAAGCTTCTCCAACCAAATCAGTTACCATCGGTAACAATGAACGAAAAAACAAACAGGCACTTATTGATTCTGCGAAAAAAAGATATTCAAAAAGAAGTATAAGTGACGATAATATTTTGTTAAACAACGAAGAAATTCAAAATATTTTGGGAAAACCCGGAAAAGTACAGACGCCGGTTCAAAGAACGTTTTCAGTTATATTAGTCAAAGGGCCGAACAGGAGTCTGGGATTTACTATCGTAGGTGGTCGTGACTCTCCCAAAGGAAAAATGGGAATTTACGTCAAGAGTATTTTGCCTGATGGAGCTGCTGCCAGCGATGGCCGCTTAAGACAAGGTACCCCACCCACTAAGTCTTATGTTTAGGGGGCTGTCATTATTTAAGGCGAGGGGTGGCACCGAAGAGAAAAGGGTTGGGTAAACAAAATTTTGAGCGAGTAAAAGGTTGGGTAAATGAAAAACAGGACAACTTAAGGCCCACATAGACCGGACGCGATTCGTCATCGCGACGCGAATTTTCAATTTTCAATGACATTTAACTTTACGATTTTTCTATGTTTTTCAAATATTCGGAACCACTTAAGCAATTTTAGCTATTTGGTCTGCGTACAGTATCTTGTAAAAATTACATGATTTTAAAAACTGAAAATTCGCGTCGCGTTGTCGAATCGCGTTCGGTCTGTATGGGCCTTCAAGGGTTGCGTAATAAAAAATTATCATTTCCAAAGCTTGATTCACTCAAATATTGAAGACTAAAAAGCAATGGCAACAGCAACAATGCAATGTATAAATCAATCAGAGTCACTATTTCCAGTATCTTGATCGTTTTACGATTTGTCAGGAGGCAAATAATGTCGCTGAAGAAAGTACAGTACATATGCAGACAACATGAAGCTTTAGACTGCAGAAAATTGCACAAGCAGTTATCAAACTCATGTCACAGAAGTGGTAAAGGACATGTGTGACAACTGAATGGTATCTTGTTGTAAAGTTTTTGGCCAGGGGTGGGTATTTATTTTTAATGGTTGGTTCAGCACAATTTTTAGCAAGAAAAACATTTCTCTTCGTTGCCACCCATTCCCCGCCATAAATAATGACCGCTCCCTTATTTAGTTTTAAAATTAAAGCGTCATTCGGTCATCCCAATGAATGTTGATACAAATGAGAAGATTATAAAGTTTTATATTTTTCTTTATTTTCCTTATTGTATTTCATTTGTAGGTGACGAGATCGTGTCGGTAAACAGTGTGAGCTTAAACAACTTCTCTCATGCTGAAGCTGTAAGAAAATTTAAGGTTGGTACAAGCGAGTTGCGACTCATCGACTCTCACGCACTCTCAAATCAATTCTTATCAAATTTTCATGAAAGTTGATAAAAATTTTCGGTATATGCGCGCGGTAACTTCCAATCAACTCTCATGCAACTCTTGTTCTTGTTTCACCGGGGCATGAGAGTTGAGAAAACTCTCATGCAAACTCTCGCTTCTCAACTCTCATCAACTCTCATGCAACTCTTGTTCTCGTTTGACCGGGGCATGAGAGTTGAGAAAACTCTCATGCAAACTCTCGCTTCTTAACTCTCATGCAACTCTTGTTCTCGTTTGACCGGGGCACGAGAGTTGAGAAAACTCTTATGCAAATTCTCGCTTCTCAACTCTCATCAACTTTCATGCAACTCTTCTTGTTCTCGTTTGACCGGGGCATGAGAGTTGAGAAAACTCTCGTACAAACTCTCCCTTCTCAACTCTCATTCTCGTTCTACCAAGGCTTTAAACGCATTAAAAGCGCTCTTGTTCGTTCATTATGCCCCAGTCAGACGAGGATTTACAGTAAGAAGCGAGAGTTTTACTCGAGAGTTTTCTCAACTCTCATGCTCCCGTCAAACGAGAACAAGAGTTGCAAGAGAGTTGACTATATATTACTGATTAAACGAGCAAAAATTCTGGTCAACTGTCATCAAAATTTGAACCAGCTCAAAATTTGAAGAGAGCCGATGAGAATTAACGGTCAAACGCTAGCGAGAGTTGCAACTTTCATCAACTCTAATCGTTTGATTGGAACTTTAAACCCTGCATTAAAATGGCATTCTATTTGAACTGACTATTCTTCAAACTACAAACTTAATTGACGAAAACTGTTGTTTTGTACAGCGTCTTGGTCAAGGCATAGTAAATCTCGTTGTACGTCGACCATTCTCAAGCTCCTCACTGGAACCGCCGTCTTCTATGTCGTCAACATTGCGTCGTACAGCCTCGCTTCAGAACATGAATACTGTGTATTCTCCACCTCTGACTGAAATCAAGAAGATAAAAATCGTCAAAGGTTGGTGAAGTATTTGTAAATATCAAGGTTGTGGGCATCTTGCTCGATAGAACTATTGTGTTGATGGGTTTTTGATAGATGGAAATTTTGATCGAAAGATTTATATACAACTGATTTTCAGACCTAAGTACACTGTACTTAGCTAACCTGGGTGGAAGGACTCGGGCCACATGTGTTTCGAATACTATACCGTTGCATTTTTCGTAACTGCATGCCCCTGATTAGGTCTGAAAATTGTATATAAATCTTGAAATAGTGAAATGTTTTAGCATTGGAGAGGTTCAGATTTTGACTTTCGCTACCTTACATTATGATTCAGCTCACTCCCTTTGGGGCTTTTCAGTGACCGATTACATCAAGTATTACGCTTACTTGCAGTATGTTACTTAGTTAGCCTGCACGGCTAAAAACGCTGAGCCCGCTGTTTAACAGGATTGAACAATGTTTTACTGCCCACGTTGTTTACACTTGTCAACAATATTGAACAATACTGTTGAGTCTGAATCGGGTGTATAACAATATTGTTCAATATTGTTGACAACTGTGAACAATGTGGGCATCAAAGCATTGTTCAATCCTGTTTTCATCAATATTGCAACAACCTGATCGTTCTTACGCGTGTAGACTATTTATCTTTACAACAGTTCTGATTAGATTCTGATTTAGGGGGCTTCGGTGGCCAAGTGGTTAGCGCACTTGCCTTTCACCTCTGAGGCTCCAGGTTCGAGTCTCACTAAGTACCTTCTCAATGCGACTCGAACCCAGTCCCCATGTGAAAAGAGTAAAAGTCAACGCTCTGACGAAAGCCGTGGGTTTTCCCCGGGTACTCCGGTTTCCTCCCACAGGGAAAGTTGACAGGGTGGGTTAGGTAAAAAGGGCCCACAGTAATTGGCATATGCTGTTGTGGTGACCCTGCCCTAGTTGGCAAAGCTAAATAAATAAAATAAAAGATTACTTTCCTAACTGTGTTTATCCTAACCCACCCTGTCAACTTTCCCTGTGGGAGGAAACCGGAGTACCCGGGGAAAACCCACGACTTTCGTCAGAGCGTTGACTGATTCTTTTCACATGAGTCCATAGAAACGAACCCACGATCTGAGAGGTGAAAGGTCTTGCTCCGACCGCTGCCCCACCGAAGCGCTCCCCCCCCCCCCCCCCCCCCCCCCTCCCATACGAAGCTACCATTACCAATAACCAATCAAATGCACTTAATCTACCTGATTAATTATTCAATTACGTATTAAGTCTGTGAGAGGTACAGGTAGTGGGAGTCAAATCTGAACATGTGTTGAAATGTTAGATCACCGATATAAATATCTCTGTTTAGAAAAACACGTGGACCTTGGCTTTTCAATCGCTTGCGGTGGCTGGAAAGAAGGAAGTGATTATGTGGTTTATGTCCAATATATCAGTGACAACTCACCAGCAGTCGATAAACTACAGTAAGTAAGCAGTCACACCATTACGCCTGCTTTGAGTCTCGTTATATACTGCGCGGTTTGATTTCATGTAACGTGAGCTATAAAAAGCTATTGCAATGAAATAAAGATCATTTCATTCAGAAAGGACTAACGTAGATTTTGATATATAACACTTGAATTTACATGCAATATTGAGCGAGATACAACCAAAATAAAAATATTTATTATTTAACAAGTATAACTACATCGGTAATTATAAGGTTGTTTTATGCTATTTTTTTTGCATTTTCAAAAACAGTAGTTCAACGTTCAAACATCAATAGCGCAGTCAATATTGCATGTAAATTCAAGTGTTATATATCAAAATCTAAGTTCGTCCTTTCTGAATGCAATGATCTTTATCTCATTGCGATAGCTTTTATAGCTTTTACGTCACATGAACGTGCCCTAACATGGCCTTTAAAAAGACCTATCTTTCATGTTTCAGGGTAGGCGATGAAATTCTGAGCGTTAACACGGAGGATATTTCTCGCAAATCCTTCGAGGATGCCGTGGAATTCCTAGAAAAGATCCCACAGGGCAGAGTAACCATGGTGATCAAACGACCGAGAGCGAAACCATCGTTACTACTCTTGGACAATGAAAGCGATTATGTCGGTAAGGCTTTGTGAACTCTAGAGGTACACTGCAGAAGTGAGATCTAGAACTTCAGCCATTCGGCCCATTTCTTCAATTGAACCGCAAAGTACAACATGTGGATGAATTTTCCTGCGCTATATGCAAACATGTTTTGTTTTCCCAATGCTTTGGTAACAGGTCATAAAAGTCGTATATAGTCCTATATAGTATCTTCATAGCGATATATAGTATCTAAGATGGTGGAAATGTTTTAAGAGGCGATTTTTTTGTATGCCTGTGTGATGTTACTCTGAGTGTATATCCACACCGAGCAGGCTTGAAAAATATGCCTGGCCACGGTGGGAATCGAACCTACGACCTCTGGAATACTACCCCACACTCAGAGTAACATCACACAGGCATCTTATTCACCTGAGTACATTACACCAACACAACAATATAATTTTTTTGTATGTTACGTAACACGCGCTCAAAACTAATGAGTAATATAACACTTGCTGTTATGACTATACATCCAAATTTTTTATTTTTCGATACGTTTCTCAATCGGCAAACAAACTTAAAAAGTATATGTTTAGTCCTTTATCTGTAAAATAATGCCAAAGTGAAGAGATTTTAGATGGTACGCCAAAGAGAAAATGATCTCTGAAGTTCAGCAAGTTTGGCTTATATTGCTGCAAATATGGCGTCACTTTTAAAGCGTCAATGATAATTGTATTTTAATTGACAATTTTGTACTATTATTTTATGTTTCTCAACGGCAAATGCATTCTAAAAGGTTGCTAACTGTATAAACTAGAGAATAAAGCTAAAACAAACCAATTTTGAGATGTGCGCCAAAAAGATTTTAGGTTTTGAACACTTTTCATCGCAAATACGTGACATAGAAAAAAATTGCCTCTTAAATAGTACTTGACATTTCTATGTACAAACCCCTTCAACTTATTGAACTTCTATCGCGAGTGACATCCCTGGACTCAATTGGTTAGAGCGCTGCACCGGAATCGCAGGACAGAAGGTTTGGTTCCTTGCCAGGGACCTATACTATAGTTGCATTTTTTGCAGCTGCCCCTGGTAGGTCTAAAAATGTTCACATTTTACACTCAATAATTTCCATCGCAACACTGATCCGAAAAAATATTATACACCTGTTTTGCACGGATATTGATATTGTGTGATTTTCTCGAGTGCCTCAAACTTCCCTCTCGTAATGTTCATGTATTTTTCCTTCAGATTCTTCGAGTATCGATGGGTCTTCAGAGGCTTCAGACTCGCCTGCGTCGGTTAGAAAAAGGAAGAATTTAAGTCTTGTAAGTATGAAACATTTGAACCTATATGCAACGTGTGATTTTTTGTATTATTTAAGTATTATTTTATAGTGTTAAGTTTACGTTGTGCAACCACCACTTGTATTTAATATTTTCGCAATTCTTTGGCACTTAAGCCCCGGTCAAACCGAGCATGAGAGTTGATGAGAGTTCGCAGTCACCAATTGTTACTGAAGGCATTTCAAGCTCTTGATTAAGAATAACGGTTTGATGATGAGTGTTTCATTTAAAATTGACATTTTTTCCCCCAAAGTTTGCATCCGCGATATTTTATCAGAGTATGGATTATAATTTTATTTTGTAGTCTTTATTGCTTGCGGGCTATATAGTCACTATACGAAAAGCACATGTAATGTAACAAATTATGTTAATTAGTATATGAAAGTTGAATAAAAAATTCACATTCTTAACATGTTTTATTTTCATCAAAATATGATCGAAAAAACCCAACAATTTTTGGATTGGCATCCATTTTACCATTGTTGATAGTTGAAGAAATCTGTAGATGTTAGATTAAACTTGCGTAATTCTTTATGATATTATTGCTTGTAACTCAAAAGCCAATAAATGTTGGCATTGACTTTTGTATCGTCATGAAGACTGTATGCAATCAATATGACAAAAATATGTTAACATATGCAGCATATATCGTGGTTTAGTACATCTCGCCCTGCAGTCGCTTCCTCTCCAATTTGGCAAAGTTCAAATTTCAGCGCTTTCTTCACCAATCTATTCTAAATCTAAAAATTAGTTCAGTGCCATTCAAAATAAACGGACGTATGAAACTCGTACTCCGTAGTTCATAATCGCTACTGTTGAAAAGTGAAGTATGTAATTAGCCTTCTATATTGAAATTGAGAAATCGAAAATTGTTATATTTGTGTGCAATACAATTCATTTAGCAAGAGTACTGCATAACTCTCAGGGTTGCAAATAAATATTTGACTTGACAGTACATTTGTTCGATCACTTTTAATTTTGGTCGAACATGACTTGAATTTGGTCGGACATATATACGTCACAAGATACAGTACATATAAGTCACGAAACAAGTATGTATAGCCATTTCGGCGCAACGTTAAGAAAAATGCTAGAATGCCTCGTAAATTTTATTGCAAAATGCAAATTGAGTGAATTTGCAATCGGATTTTGTCACAGCAAAAAGATGTATAATATGACAATATATCAAAATCACTTTTGCTCGGACATTTGCCAAATTTAGTCGGACATTGTCCGATGTCCGACAGTAATTTGCAGCCCTGGAACCACAGAATACTACACAGAGGTCCATCTCCATTGCTTTTTGCGTAAGCGCTATTCGTCATGATTCGTCACTCAGCAAGTACCGTAAACAGAAGCAGTCACCCCCTCCCCCCCCTGGACGTGCGCCATTTTTAGTATTTCCAGGGGGGTGACTGCTTATATACTTATAGGTTACGTTTACACTATACCAGATAGCTTTCAGTAGCGGCGCGAAAAAGCGCCTGATCCGATACGGAACGTACAACTTTCAGAAGCTGGGCGAAACAAAATCTCTCCGTTGCAATAATTCCTCTGAAAATAGCGTTCCTAAAAGGTACGGATATAGGTGTTTTCTCACGTTGCTACGGCAAGCTATCAGGTACAGTGTAAACACAGTGTTTTCAATAATAATCATCATAGTGGGCTGCAGTTCAAAAATAGGCGTCTGCGTTCAAAAATTTCATGTGAAAGCCAAATTTCAATCCTTTCTTAGGTTTAGTCAGTAAAAAGAAATCTGCTATAAATTTAAGACTGATTTGAACTTCTTTGTTCTCCCCACCTTAAACTTTTGTAATAATATGTTGATTGTTGCTCTTACTTTTAGTGATAATATTAACTTTTGATACAATACTCATCTGTATAGGATTAGTGTAGGTAATAGTACGGCTTCAAGTCCATTTTTGTAAAGACATGCATGAGTATGCTTTTTAAGAGGATCATGGTAACTGTTTATTTCGTAGTGTAAGCCATCAACTTTACAAAACAGAAAGTCGTCATGCCCAAATAAGAGCTCTTGCAATTCAACATTTAATAAACGAGTTACGAAGGCCAAGGGAGTGATAAGGAATTGTTTATCCCCTAACAACGTTGTTCTAATCCACATTTTTGAGTAACGTGCCTACTTTTAGCCTATGGCTATGCCTGCTCTTACTGTGACTAGGTTGTCGGCGACCTTATACAGTTCTTGCCGTGTCGTGTCTTTTTCAATTTGAAACTTTACACTATCCTTGGATCCCTAGTTACTTGCTTTAAACTATTTTCAATAAAATAATACAATCTAATGTCGCTAGAAAATTGCAGTAAACGAAAAAATAACCGGCTGTCAGAGACGAAATAGGCGACGGTAAACCGCCGGTAACCGCCTCTTATTGAAAACACTGTAAACATACTGTATAGCCCAGGGTTCGTACAAAACTTGAAAGTCCTTGAATTTTACAACAAAAATTCAAGGCCTTGAATATCCTTGTGTTTGTAAAGAAGTACTTGAAAGTTCTTACATTCTTCTTGCTTTAGGTTATGGATATTTTCTGAAATTGTTTGACATTCAAAACGGACATTTTGTTGAGTTGATTTTGCATGTTCATATCTGACAAAGCTGTTTCAAATTCATAAAATCCCTTTCTGAACAATTCAACGTCACATTTTACTGAATCCTAAGATTTCTAACTTCTCTTCAGTATTTAGTGCTTGAATTTGCTGGGTTGAATGTCCTTAAAAAGTCGTTGAATTTGACTCTTCGGTCTCTTCCTCACATGTACGAACCCTGGTAGCCTTATATTACCTGTATTTTATGCTTACTTATATTACTTACTTAGCCTAGACTATTTATCTTTACAACAATTGTGATATTAATAGTTTTGTTTGTGGAAACATCACCGATCACGTAAATTTATTACTGCAGTAATAAATTTACGTGGTGTTTCCACAAACAAAACTATTATATTTTATCGCTATGCAAACATACAAAGAACTTAATTGTGATATTACTTTCCTAACTATGTTAATCCAAACCCACCCTGTCAACTTTCCCTATGGGAGGAACCCGAGAAAACCCACGACTTTCGGCAGAGCGTTGACTGACTCTTTTCACATGCATCCATCATGAGTCCGTAGCGAGAATCGAACCGACGGTCTCGAACCGACGCTATTGTTAATGAACACATTTTCGTTGACGTTGCTGTTGTGCTCCCCAGACTAGTTAATGTCATTAGTTCTGCTCTAGTGATGTTTTGCTGACAAACGGCGTCTGCTCTATATTTTCTGTTTCAAACTATGGTCTTTAAACGCTTACCGAATATAGCTTACAATAACTTGGCGAATTCCCTGATGCATATCGATAGAAAAAGTTTACTTTTCTATCTTGATTTATCACTAATCATATTGTTTTGTGCTTTTTAAGCCTGGCTCGTTTTACTCTGCCAAACTGATTGAAGAGACAGTAAAGATATCGATGGACATAGACGATGATTTAACTGATGGCTCACGACAGAGGTTTCTTCCTGCCAGCGATCCAGCCGTCTCTCGAGGCAAAGGCGATGGACAGGAGTCCACAGATTACACAGAATCGAGAAATGCGATCTCCAAGAATAAATATGTAAGCAGCTCAGGTGCTTTGCCTGATGGCTTTGAACTGCATGTCGTTCATATTGATAAAGATTTGGCCGGCTCTCTCGGTATCTCGCTCATTCCTTGTGGTGATTATTTGAAAGGTCATTTTAAGGTATGGCAATTGTGATTTGTTCGCGTTTCATGAAAAACGTTCCCTCAACTCTCGTGCCCCAGTCAAACGAGAAACAAGAGTTGATGAGAGTTGACTTGGTATTTCCACTCGTGTCAAAAACTCTGATGTTTGTGTCATCAAAATTTCAACCAGATCAAAGTTGATGAGAGATGGTGGTGAAACGCGATCGACTCTCGTCAACTCTTGTTAACTCTCATTTTGGTTTGGTCGGCGCTTTATTCAAACTACAACATCGTTGAATGCAACATTGTGTTGGCCTCGTTTGAAGACTATGTTGGAAACAAACAAACAAACAAACAAACAAACAAACAAACAAACAAACAAACAAACAAACAAACAAACAAACAAACAAACAAACAAACAAACAAACAAACAAACAAACAAACAAACAAACAAACAAACAGCACAGACCAATTCAAATAAACAAACAAACAAACAAACAAACAAACAAACAAACAAACAAACAGCACAGACCAATTCCAAATGGTTATCATTCTTTTTCTGCCAAAATTAAATCCAACCAAGTTAGTCACAAACAAACAAACAGCACAGACCAATTCCAAATGGTTATCATTCTTTTTCTGCCAAAATTAAATCCAACCAAGTTAGTCACTGCCAACCTTTTCGAGTATGAATATAATACCATGTATTCTATTTGAGAAATTAAATGTTAAAAATCCCGGAGTTTGTGGTACATTTAGCAAAGACGACTGACTAGTCTTGGTTTGGTGCTATTCGCATAAAGGAATATAATTTGGCTTGCATAGATTGTTTTCAATCTTAAAATCTTACACTTTGCTTTAAATAGCAATCTCTGCTAAAAATTGTTTATTAGCCTGGCGAGGCGTATAATATACAATAATGCAAAATTGTGGCGGCTAGTTTTCGAGTCGGGTAATACTATAACCAGATTTTCACTACACAACTTAATCGGAGGTTCCTGGGGTTGTTAGTTCTTAACCAGCCACCCGGTTTCGTTTAGGGTTTGAAAATTGTTTCACTTTATTCAGTTCTTCTTCGATATCAGCAACAAGTATAAGTTGTTTAAGTGATGAACGTTTCTTTAACTGCGGGGTTTGTTTTTGCAGATACGGCGGTTGCTGTCGGGCAGTGTGTGCGACAAAACTGGCAATCTGTTTGTCGGGGATTGCCTTGTCTCAGTCAACGGCGAAGACCTGAGGGACTTATCTCATACAGCTGTCTTACAAGAACTCAAGAAACCTCGAACACATGTAACTTTGGTTGTATTGAGAGAGATATTATTGAATCAGTCTTCGGGGAACAACAGTAACTCTTCACTTAGCGGATCTGTTCCATTTCACCAATCCAAGAATTTTCAACAATCTAGAGGCTCACCCGTACCCGCTGATATCCCTCCCCCACTCCCTTCATCTTCCCCACCGCCCCTCTTTGATGACGAACAACAGAAATATCATCAAGATGAACTAGAGTCTTTACTTTCTGAAACACTGGAATGCGATCCTGCATTCCCAGCGATGGAATCTAGTGGCCAGACATTTTTACCACAACACAAGGGGAGGACTCCTGGTTTTAATGAACATGGGTTTTCCCCACCTCCTCGAGAGGGTAGTGCTCTTAACATGCCTTTTCATAAAGAAACAATGACTGAATCAAATGTCACCCCACCTGCCACAAACAAAGGGCCAATTATAAACCTAGGTGTGCAAGGTAGTACCCCACCTCCAGCAATGAAGAACGAAGGGACATCGAAGCCTCTACACTTGACTTCAGAAGACACCACATCTCTTTTACCCCCTCCATTTGTTTACGTTGAAGATGGCCAGCTTGATGATTTTCAAAGGCAACCGTCGTTTAGTAAATACATTCTTAAACCCCCACCTACGGTGGAGGATGAGACGTCGGTCTCTACAATTATCGAACAAACCAAGGTCCTACCCCCATCATTGTCGCTTAATAATAATGATTATTCAAAGGGGGACACCCCGGAACAAGAAGGCTCGTTGGAAACTGTTCATTATTTTGTCGTGCCCCCACCGCTATCTTCAGTAGCAGCTCAGGATATATACCCTACTCCACCAAATTCCCCTCCTAAACCACCTCTTCCTGCAACATCTTGTGCTTTACATAAAACCATACCCTCCCCTCCGGATTATGATGAGGAAAAAAATCAACCCACTCTCCAAATTCTGCCCCCACCTCCCTTAGAGAATTCAGATTCAGAAGCATTTCCATCAGTTGTTCCACCACCTCCAAAAATGGTCCTGTTCCCAACTACCGCTCCTTCAACTTTACCCAATTCACAGAAGGCGCCCGAGTCTCATTTTGAAGGCGTCCTTCCCCCACCTGTATCAGCTATTGTCTCCACTACACCTTACCCATCAATTCCCCCGTCTTCTGTGCCTCTAAGATCAAGTACTACTTCAAATAGGTCAACCGTTACCCAAACCGTTAGCCCACCACCTTCCACCAAACACCCTACCTCTGCAGACTTCACAGTTGTTCCTCCCCCTCCTAAACACCATTCTTCAACCTCACATTTTGTTATGCCCCCACCACCATCATTTGTTCCCCCACCTCCTAGGCACTCAATTTCACCCTCGAGCTCGTTTTCAACACCCTCAAAACCCACAGCCCCTACCTCAAGTAGATCATCCTCCACTCTCTCATCATCTGTAGATATCGGCCCACCTCCCCAGCCCGTCGCTTTACATTCCGACCAAACACCAACCCCTCCTATAACTCTTCACTCCACACAATCCAGTTTCAAAGTACCTAAACCATCTCCCCCAGCTACGCCCTTCACCTACGCACAAACTGCATCTCCCCCTCCTCCCCACCAATCCTACCCAAAGGCATACAACCCCACTCCCCTGGCTTTCTCACCGTCTTACGATCCCCATGCTAAAGCAAAAATAGATGATTCACATCCCCCCGTTCCCCATCCCGAGTCAGAAATAGAGTTACCGCAAATACCACAGGTAGTCCAACCAGAAAAACCAACAAATCGTATCTCGCCATCAAACTCCGCAATTTGCCTCCTCGATGAAATTTTGGAATCGCAAACCGCAGACAGTACATCCTCTTCTGATGCAAAGTCCGTAGATATGACTACGGTCAATGTTATTGAAACTAACACGACCATCGAGGCATCGCGGGCGCCGAAAACATACCATACAGATTGGAATTCCGAGTCAGCGGAGCTACCAAGTGAAAAAGATCGTGGCTCTAAATCTTCATTGTTGTCGAATATGGTAGTCGGACAACGTTCTGAGGAATTTCCATTCATGATCGAGTACCAGCTTAAGAAATCCAAGGGACTGGGAATGAAAGTTAGTTCTTCGGATGATGGTCGGATTGTTATCGTAGATCTCTCGGCGAGTGGAGTTGTAAAGAAAGATGGGCGAATAAGGTATGTTGATTTAGATAACCTACTGAACTTAAATTTTTGTGGTTTAAGTGTCACTAATTGACCGGTCATTGTTTATGGCGGGGGGTGGCACCGAAGAGAAAAGGGTTGGGTAAACAAAATTTTGAGCGAGTAAAAGGTTGAGTAAATGAAAAACAAAAACTCAAAGGTTGGATAATAAAAAAAATATTGTCATTTCCAAAGCTTGACTTACTCAAATATTGAAGACTAAAAAGCAATGTCAACAGTCATATGTCAATACAATATATAGATCAAACAGAGTCACTGTCTTGATCATTTTCGGATTTGGTATCTACATGTGCAGACAACATGAAACTTTAGACTGCAGAAAATTGCACAAGCAGTTATCGAACTCGTGTCACAGAAGTGGTTAAGGACATGGGTGACAACTGCATGAATGGTATCCTTTTGTAATGTTTTTGGCCAAGGGTGGGTATTTATTTTTTAATTGATGTTTGAGGTTAGGTAAAAAAAAGTTTGACTTTTTAATGGTTGGATCACCTACAGTAAATTTTTACCACGAAAAACATTTCTCTTCGGTCCCACCCCTCCCACCCCCCTCCACCACCATTAATAATGACCGGTGTAATATTTGGGTCATTGTTAGGGGCTGATTACATGGAGAGTTCTCAGCCCGGGCTGAGTTTCATCCCGGATTGCCAGGCTGGATAATATCCTATTAAAACAGGATAATATCCTATTAAAACACAGCAAACGATTACATGTGATTTTCCTATAATTTTCTTTCGTCTACCGCTCACTCTAGGATGAATGATTACTTGATTGCAATCAACGATATTTATGTATCTGGCTGTCCGCTTGATGTCGTTGGCAACATCATCAAACATATTAAGAAAGGCGCTGTCCGATTAGTCGCAGAATCTCCTTACGCGGCCGGCCACAAAGGAAATGGAAACGAGTCTTCTCGGATGGGTTTGAAAGAGACTGGCACAGATGTTGGTGTTAGGGCGGGCCGGAAACAGACTGATAAAGAGGTACCTCGCGTTGTGAGCTGGGAAGGCATTGGGAACGAGGATTTTGTTTATGGCGTCCGAAATTCTTCCGTTCCTCATGGAGGATATCATGAGACTGGACCCGAGTGTGAATCACGTGACATAAGTGCTAAGTCACGTGACATTAGTTCCGAATCGCGTGACATCATTGCAAAATCACGTGAAATTGGTGCCGAGTCGCATGCTGTGCGAAGGTTCAAACACGTGGACGACCATGAACGCATGTCTAAAGAACGACCGCGCTCTGAGGTCTTGGAAACTAATAACGACCTCATCGACAAGGAATCTAAGAAAAGAATGAAGAAAAAGGCGTCGGTTAAGGAGAGACTGGGCCGAGTTTTTGGAAAGGATTCTAGAAGTTCTACGAAAGTTTCTCGGAACATATCTTTACCATTGAACCGAGGCGATAAGTGGAAGAAGTCGCGATCATTAGACAGACTCGATTGTGATGAAGTTATAGATTTATCTAGCGAGAGGAAAAGGAGTGAATCAGAGCTACTGATGAGTGGTCACAGCCAGGAGACTGGTACTAGCCAGACCCCGAGGACTGTTGCGAACATTATCATTGAAACCGCTGACCGATCATCGGATGAGCAAGCGGGCTCAAGCGATTCGGTAAGACAAGAAGGTAGCTCTTCCCGAGCCAAGGTTCGAAGAAAACGAAAATCACTGTATGAGATTCCCCCACCCCCTCCCCCTCCCCCCGTGGACGGAGGAGACGAGGAGGACGAGCCTATCCCTGCAAAGCCGATACGGTGTTTCTCCAACCCTGATATGACCGTGCGAATCCCTGACGGACAAGAATGGCCTCCGGCTGGACGAACGTCTCTTACTGAAGGCTCTGAGACAGCTATCCTGAACAGGCCGTATTCGAATTTGAGTAGATCTGAGGGGAATGTAATCGAGTCTGCCTATTCTGAACGAATTAGTGAGAAAGAATTATCACCTAGGTTTAGTCACAGTAACAGTGCAACCAACTCGAACGATTATGAACATGCCAGAATTCAGGTATCAACGGGTAATATTAGTAACACGATACAGCCGATAAAATCGATACAGTCAGTGGAACCAATGCAACTACCACGGACTGCAAGTCACTCCGAGCGAAACTCCGACATAAATATTCGAAAAGAAAGCCAAAGAGACACTGTCGTGTATTCTGAGCAGAGGTCAATGTATTCTCCCAAAAAGACGACTCTTCATTCTACGTTCTCGATTGATGCACCGGAGCAGACGGTTAATGATGGTAATTTAACACGAAGTCAAAGCTATAGTACAAGTCCTGTACATTCACCAACAGGTCCATCTACTACCTCGCTTCTAAAGAGTTCAGTATCTGCAACACAAACCAAGATGCCTAATTCACAGTTTTCAGGGGATAAAATGGAACAACACGATACGAACCATGTAAAAACACAAGATGATCGCAGATATCAAGTTTCTGCTAAAACAACAACTAGCTACCCTAATGCCGCACCAGCTTACCTTCCGAAAGAATCGCGACTCTATTATCAATCTTCAGGTAACATATCTAACCAAAATGAGATCGATGAAAGTCTTACAAGAACACTCAGTGATCCCCTACCAGCGCCTATTCACCATACTAAGTTACCAAAAGACATCCACATTAAAGCCATTCCACCACCGCCAGAAAATCTGAGATATACCCCTCAAAAAGTTTCGCATTCTCAGTCCGTAACTCAGATATCATCACGTACTGGGCAAAGCGAAATTCATCCTGCACGAGCCCTAAGTGATCCAGTAATTACACCCATAATTTCTCCTGAAGTACCTAAGATACTCGATAGTTCCTCTAAATCACCAATAGTCCATAAACCTGTGAAGCCTGTTGTATCTCCTAAACCTTCCGTGCCCCCTAAGCCACTCCTATCCCCCAAACCTTCGGTGGTCTCTAAACGGGTCAGATCCCCAGTGGCGAGCAATACAGGCAACAGCTATACACCAGGAAATAACGAATCGATAAAATCAAAAGCAAAAGAAATTGCGTCACCCCTACAGGGATACGCAGGGGTAGTGCGGGTAAACGAGGGATAACAGTTGATAAATACGTACATCAAGGGACACATGATGATAGCGATGACGTATTTATAAAGCCACAAGATGAGAATAAATTACCTGACTCGTACCCAGGCCCTGTGAGAAAGCGTCGTTCGTCTTTACCAGAGCAAGATGTGACGTCATCAAGTAATAAAGGACAGGGTGAAAGCAAGCGACGCCCTAAGACAATGATGTTACCTCAGGAAGTCCAGGATGAAGGCGTGTTTACCGTTCAGGTTAGTTGATTAAGCACGTACGCTATCAAGGAAGAGCCTGGGAACGAGGTTGGTACGCTATGCGTACAAACTCCGGCTATTAAGATCATCCTATGGTCAGTGTTTTAGCATAATAAAATAAAATAATATAAAAATACATAATACCACAAACGAAACAAAAATGATGAAAATAGTTTTTAAAAACAATTTGTATCACATTAAAGTAGTTGTGAACAAAACAGTATTTACACAAGCTTTTAGTAATTTATTCATTAGAAATAGTTTTAAAGAATACCTCTAAACACCTTTGAACCAAACTCTGTGGCTTTCTCTGTGTAAGGTGGAACCGCAGCTTCGTTTAGTCAAAAAATGCTCGTCTGCAACCAGAACAAAAAAAGGAAGACATTTTGTTTGAAAAGCACTGTCCACTTCTCCAGTATATGCTAAATATGTATACAGCTAATTCAAAAAAGGTTGTCCTTTGCAAACTCTAAACCTTAAACTCTAAGCGCGCAAAACTTAATGGGAGCACAAGTTTCAAGCTTAGTAGTTGAATATTGCAGCTATATGTGAATGAATTGTTCTCGTAAGGAGATATTTGTCATGTCTGCAAGAAATGGTCCCCATTTATGATTTCTAAACTCATTAAATGATGCTACCATTATGCTTTCATGCTTTGCAAGCTTAGAGTTTAAGGTTCAGAGTTTAAGGTTTACAAAGGACAACCGTTTTTGAATTAGCTTATAATTTAAAGCTTATAATAAAAATTAATTTTTGGTTTTGGAAGTGCTAAATATGTTAATTAAACGATCTGCAAGTCTTGTGCGCGTGACTTGATAATATATATAGTGACAATCTTATTATTTGTCCATCAATGTAGTTACTCAAGCAGCAACGCTCTCTTGGTTTGGTCATTACTGGTGGTATCGACACCCCCCTGGGTATGCTCTACATCAAGGAAATACAGTCGGGGACGCCCGCAGACCTTTGTCAGCGGTTACGTGTGGGAGATCAGATCGTGGAGATAAATGGTGTGAACTTACTGGGGGCCACCCATGGCGAAGCTCTGAGGATCATGCGTACTACCCCACCTCTTGTGCAACTGATTATCGCAAGACGAAATGATAGGTGGGTGTTTTGTAGCACAGAATACTACACAGAAGTCCATCTCCATTGGTTTTTGCGTAAGCGTTATTCGTCATGATTCGTTACTCAGCAAGTACCGTAAGCAGAAGCCGTAACCCCCCTGGACGTACGCCATTTTTAGTATTTCCAGGGGGCGACTGCTTCTGTTTACGGTACTTACTGAGTGACGAATCATGACGAATAGAGCTTACGTTAAAAACAATGGAGATGGACTTCTATGTAGTATTCTGTGCTTGTAGTGTTACTGTCGATGCAATGGAAGTGTTGATAAAATATTGCACCAATTCCTTTCCTCAAGTTGATCAATTCATTTGATAGAAAATTGATCAACTTCCTGTTACTCTAGATGAGCCAATTAGATTTCGTTTCAGAACCGATTGACCAATAGGAAACGCACAGGAAGTAAAAAGAAATTTGAATTCGTATGAATTGATCAACTTGAGGAAATGAATGGACCTTTCCCCTTATAACTAAAATTTCGATCTAGACAAAAATTTCATCACAGCTTGAAAGAGCATCACAAAATTAGTAATATTCCAAAGTTTTGTTGCAAAATCTTGTAAAATGCGGATAATATAGCCTTGCGAAGTTTGCCGTTTTTCAGTCATTTTGTATTACAAACGGGAAATTGACATCCGATTCGGGTGTTGGGGCATCAATTTCCCGTTTGTAATGCAAAATGACTGAAAACTGCAAACTTCCCAAGGCTATATTTTACTCATTTTACAACATTTCGCAATGAAACTTTGGAAAATTACTAATTTCGTGATGCTCTTTCAAGCTTTGATGAAATATTTGTCTAGACTTGCCTAGATCAAAATTTTGGTTATAAGGGAAGGTCTATTGATGCAATATTTTATCAACACTTTCATTGCATCGACACTAAACGGTTCAAGGGATATTTGTAGATGGAATTTTCCGACGAAGATTTATGAACAATTTTAGAATATTCTCTGTATTTTAGGACCGAGGAAAGCCTACATATAGATGAAAGCAAATTAAAGAAAACATCACCCACGAGAGCGAACGAAACCATAATTCAAACAGCAATTGTGAACAGCAAAATCCCTCGAGAATCCTCCAACCTCGTCTTAAAAACACCTCCCACTTCGCCCCGTAATAAACAGCGAAAAATCACGCCCGTTACTAGTCCTACCAGGGATCGACCGGATCCCGGTAGCTCCGATATCGAGGTATCGTTTATCGGAGGGGAGGAAGAGCCTATTGATGAGGGACATGTCGAGAAGAAGAGGATAGAAGAGGAAATGAGGTGTAATGTGACGTTAACAAAGGATCCTTACAGTGGTGTGGGGATAAGTGTATCTGGAGGCAAGGATACTTCTAGTGAAGATATCACGGTAAGATCACTGAATTTGGCCAGCCTTTTTCTTCAAGAGCAATCTTGGACATAAATGCTTGAGAGTACCTTTCCCTCTCTAGAATATTCGCATACCCCTTCATGATAAATTCCATGTCGAATCATGTTGCACTTCTTAAGCCCCCACAGCCCCCAAATCAATGTTCAGCTTGTGCCATGCTAAATTACCAAAAGTTGTTTCGGCGTTGTTGAGGGAGAGGGGGTGACGAAATTTGATTTGTCAATGTGCATTAACTTTGCAATATTGGCTGGAATGGTCTCAAGGGTTACGTCCAAGATTGTCGCTGTACAATAGGGGAACTAGCTATCCTGTATAGGGCCCTAATGTAACAGGCAGAATTGGTAACAGGTCTAATTTTGCAAGTTCAAATCAAATCATTTAGTCCTATTCCAAGTCAAGTCAAAAGTTATTTAGTCAGCCCAAATCAAGTCACAAGTCGTTTAATCCCAGTGTAAGTCAAGTCATAAGTCGTTTAGTCCCATGTCAAGTCAGTTAGTTCAAGTTAATTCAGTCACAAGTCGTTTAGTCCCAGTCTAAGTCAAGTCACAAATCGTTTAGTCCCATTCCAAGTCAAGTCATTTAGTCCAAGTTAAGTCACAAGTCATTTTGTCTGTGACCAAGTCATTTATTTAGTCCAAGTTAAGTCACAAGCCGTTTGTTAGTCCCAGTCTAAGTCAACTCGTTTAGTCCCATTCCATGTCAAGTCATTTAGTCCAAGTTAAGTTAAGTTAAGTTAAGTTAAGTTAAGTTAAGTTACAAGTCATTCTGTACAGTTCTTTTGTACCATGTATTGGGGGAATCACCAGTATATTTACTTTTTTGCAGCTGTTCAAAACTTAGTGACAACCTTTATTAACTTGACAAAATAATCGCGCTATTACAACTTGTTAACAAACTTGTAGCAAATTTGTTGCGAACACATCTTTTTGACAGGATGTGACATTCTTACGCGTGTTGTAATTTGTATTTTTCATTGTTCTCCTTAGATACGCCAAGTCGCCCCAGGCAGTGTAACCGCGCGTGATGGCCGCGTGAAGGTTGGTGACAAGTTGCTTTTCGTCAACGGTCAATCCTTGAAAGGCATGACCAACCCGCAAGTTCTGGCCTTCCTGAAACAAACCCCGAACACCGTCACCCTCACGTTATCCCGACCGAAGAAACCGTCGGCAAGTAGTCGGAGTCCGCCGCCTGTCGCACAGAAACCGACCAAACCGACATTCCTCTTGCCACCAAAGGTAGAACCACCCCCCGTCAAAGAGAAACCCCAGGGGAGCGAGGCCTGGCCTGTGAAAGAAGAGAAGCAGCGCAAAGGACTATGGGGCAGTATAAGTGGAAGTTTACATGGAGGTTTGGTGAAAAAACACGCTGACATTGATATTGGAGAAATTGACTTGGGAGACAGTAGGTAAGTAAAATAAAGACCCATTTCCACTCAAGAAAAATTCCCACGGACAGAAAATTTTCCGAAAATATCATTGTTAAAAGTTGAGAATTTTTGACTTATGTAAATGAACATGATTTTTATCACATATAACACCACCGACACGGCAGTGGTTTCCTTTGTCTTTTCCTCATGATTTTTTTTTAATTTTTTAAATTCTGTTTAAGAGGAGATGTTTTTGTATGTTACGTAACACGCGCTCAAAACTAATGCGTATAATATACCACTTGAGGTTATGACTAAATTCAAAATGTTTATTTTTCGATACGTTTTTCAGTCGGCAAACAAACTTAAAAGTATGATTAGTGCATTTTCTGTAAAATAATGCTAAAATGAAGAGATTTTAGATGATACGCCAAAGAGAAAATGATGTCTGAAGTTCAATAAAGTTTGCTTATATGGCTATAATTATGGCGTCAATTTTAAAGCATCATTGATAATTGTATTTTAATTGACAATTCAACCGGCAGATGCATTTAAAAAGGTAGCTAACTCTATAAACTAGAGAATAAAGCTAAAAACAAAGTAATTTTGAGAGGAACGCCAAAAAGATTTTAGGTTTTGAACACTTTTCATTGCAAATACGTGACATCGAAAAACATTGCCTCTTAATCTAATCCTTACCATCCCTAATTTAACACAAAACAAATATGGTGTAATTTTAGGACATTTTCCTATGACAAGTCAGGCAATATTTTGTTAATGTTTTTCAGTGAGCTACCAAAGTACTCGAAACCCACCCCAACCAGAAAAGGCATCAAAGACCTCTTTTCTCCTCACGACAACGAACCAACCTTATTGGACATCGATGTAGACCATGGTTCCTCCGGGGTTGGGTTTAGCATTCGAGGTGGTCAGGACTCCATATATGGTGACTCTTCGTTATTTGTCGATACCGTGTTCTCACGGCCGACACATGGCCGCGCGCCGCGTCTGCGGAGTGGGGACGAGATTGTCATGGTCAATGGACATGATATGTCCTGGATGACAAACGTGGATGCGGTGGAATTGTTGAATTCTTTGCCAAGAGGAAAGGTGCGCATTCGAGTACGCAGACGATAGCCAAGAATTTCGAGAAAATTTGGATGCAAGCACGACATGTTAAACTGTGCCGGTAAAATGTCTGTGCGACTTGCCAAGACTTTATGCTAAAGAGAGTTAGCGAACGAAAATATTCTCCTTTTGAGAGGATGTTTTGTGCACTTCTGTCCACTTGTAATCAGTATCTCTGGATAAAATACGCTCGTGTACTGAGAATCGGCTTCAAGTTTTCATATGACAAGTTCGTCGGTATCGGCAACTTTGCCAATTTTCCACTGTGAAAAGTACACTTGTTCATTAGCTAGTATGCTACAATCTTGGACATAACTGGTTGAGACTATTTTTCCCCCTATAGAAAATTCGCATATTTTTATGATAAACTCCATGTTGAATCATGTTGCCTTTCCTAAGCCCCCGCTCCCCTAACTCAATGTTGAGCTTGCGTCATGGTATATTACCCAAAATTTTTTGTTTCGGCGTTGTTTACAACATTGAACTGGGAGGGGGGAGGGGGGGGGGGAAGAGGAGACAAAGTTTGTTTTGTTAATGTTCAATAACTTTGTAATATTGGCTGGAATGGTCTCAAGGATTTTGTTCAAGATTGTCGCTTTTCAAGAAGTGCACTTGTCATGGAAAAAATTGGCAAAGTACAAATTTTATTCGTCTGTATGGCCTATGGTCAACGAAGAAAATTTGGCAATGTTATTTGAGCACTTGCATGGCGGTCAGAAAACCAAACACTAGCCATAGTAAATGTGTTGTACGTGCGCAAATTGCAACTGACAAATGAAAGTTGTCGTTGAAAATCTTGAAAACTTGTTCGTCTAGCCTGCGAGACGGGCTAATCCACACCTAAAAAGGAGGTCGATGACGTCATACACTTCTTGTACTTTATTACAATCTCATATGATATTGTAAAATTTTACTCAAACGTATTATATATTTATAGTGTTTTATCTATTGTTATTAATTCGATTTCTAAATTGGAATGAGCGAATGAATGAATAGCATTATTTTTAATCTGCAACTTTTAATATACGAATATAATAATATATTTATGCCAATATTCAATGGAACCTGTAAATAGTGTAATCTGCAATCAATTAAAATTATTCCGAATTATCGTAAAAACTGTCAGGGTCGCTGAGAGGTTGCCCGGGGTAAAACTTTCCCGGGGCCCCTATGACGTCATAATCGTGAAACTGGAGAAGCGGACGCGTAAAATTGAGAAAACATGGTAAAATTGTCTGCGCCTTCTGGTTGTGTATGATTATCCAATTAATCACAAATCTGGCCAATCAAACATATTCATTGATTGGTATTTCCCCAAATTTGATCGAGTCATTTTATATGGCCTTAACTAAATTTTGTGTATAACACAGTTTCTGAAGGCACTCGGGTAGTTTGCGAACCCAGAAATCATTTCCCTTCAAAGTAACTTTACGAGCGAAGAATGAGCGTGGGAAATGACATCTTCGTTCGCAGACTAGAACTCGGGAGGAATGAATCTTATTGATTTAAAATTTTTGGTGAACCCTCGTAATAATGATATAAACAACATATAAAACGTCCAGTATTGTAACTGAAATTCCTGGAAATTGGACGGAAATAAGACCCATTGATATATACCAATTTTTTTCGAGATTTTTTTGCGTGACAATTTTATTTTTTTAATTCTATTTGTCAGCGGGGTGGGAATTTGGGGGGTTGGGCACTAAATATGGGATGCGCAGAAGATCGGCGCACCGAGCAAAATTATCGTCCGACGAAATTCGCAGTAAAATCTAGAAAATTTTTGTAAATTTCTCCCAAATTTGAGGATTTTTTTGCCTAAATGAAAGCCTAAACTGCTGTAGAATGGCTACGAGACGAACTGGCAAGTTAGTTCAGCGAAGTAAGCCGGGCGAAAACAGCACAAATGAAGTAGACCCCGCGATCGACATACCTGAAATTGACGAAGATGAAACGGAGACGAAAGAGACTCGCTTAACTTTAATGGAGGAAATCTTACTTCTCGGTTTAAAAGACCGCGAGGTTAGAGCTTTAAGCCCTCGTTTTAACTTTAAAGAATGTTCTTTTAAACGTTCACGGTTTTTCACGGCGTTTATTTTGCCTTTTATATAGGGTTATACATCGTTTTGGAATGATTGCATCTCGGCCGGTCTACGTGGCTGCATTTTAATAGAGTTAGGAGTACGGGGTAGAATTGATCTGGAAAAGACCGGTATGAGACGAAGGGGCTTGCTTAGTCGAAAAGTCGTTCATAAAAGCATCACGCCGACAGGGGATGTGCTTTTGGACGAAGCTTTAAAGCATATAAAAGACACACAGCCTTTAGACACGGTTCAAAATTGGATAGAGTTGCTGAGCGGTGAGTATTTATACATTTTAATTTGTTATATTTGTACAGTTATAACTGTATAATATCATTCATGGGATAATATGAAAAGATGTTACCCTCAGAGCCATTTTAGGGAAACATTTCTTAAGTAGTCTTTTACAATAAGTTCTTTTATACAGTAATGGACAAGTATATATATAAATTGCATTGCACAGATTATATTGGAACGATCATATAAAAAAAGTATCGGAGAATATTGCGATCATATAAAAAAAGTATCGGAGAATATTGTCCATTGACTATATCAATAGTCAATTGGCAATCATGATATATGAATTGATACAAAAATATTACTTTTTGTGAAAAGTTAAAGTCTGTACAGTTAATGTTCATTTGTAAATTCCGTGGACACTTTAAAAACAATTTAGCCACATAGGCTTTTTAATAATTCATAAACTTTAGAAGTGATTATATTTGGATTTAGGGACCGTTACAGCGATTAAATCCATGATAAATTCCATCCAATGATCAACGTAGCACAAAAGATAAACACTTTAAATGAGCCACTAGCAGATAAAAGATAATATCAATACTACAGATACAATTACTATCATATGCTATGCATTGTTTTGAAAATCAACTAGTTCTCTTCTTGTCTTTTGAGTCGTTTTCATGTCACTTGGCATTGATCACCATAGATATCTTATATAGACTAGATAGCACATCTCTTTTAGTAAAATTGAAGCCAAGAATATTCTAGCGGTTACCCCCATTTGAATAGATGGCGGCCGTGTTGGAGTTTCCCACTCGCTAATAAACGCTTAAAAAACAACAATAACTTTCATCATTTGAATAGTTTGAAAATGTATTTGGAATAGGTTTAACTTAATGTTTAAGTTCCCTGTTTAACAAACAGAAAACATACAAGTCTTCTCATTTCGTGGGAATATCCTGAGCCTGCAAACACGGCTTCAATTTTTGAATTGCAGAATAATTAGAGGCACTATCTAGGGGTGCACCGGAACCAGTTTTTTAAGTTCCGGCCGGATACAACCGGAACCGGATCCGACCGGAACTGGAAAAAAAGTACCGGCCGGAACGGAACCGGAACTAATTTATTAAGCCATATATAGTCATATGTTACTTTGTCAGCTGCCAGATAAGCAGACACTTCAAGCCATCAAGGAGAGAACTTGCAAATGTTAGAATAAAAAGATTGACAAGCGTTAAATGTCATAATGAAGTGTTAATAGTGTAACTGTGACCTTTTGTTAGACACAAAAACGTTTGATATTCTATCTCTCTGAAAACGACAGAGTTCCGGTTGCGGCCATGCTTTTTTTATTAGTTCCGGCCGGAACCGGAACTCTAAAAAATCGGGGTTCCGGTGCACCCCTGGCACTATCTAGTGTATATAAGATATCTATGTTGATCACTCATCCACTAAACCAATACAAGTTGGTGTACTGTACCCCAAAGAAGCTAGCCTGTGTACATATTGTATTATGTTGTAATACAGTCTGTGAAAATTTGTGGCATTGCTTGTCGTCCCCCATCTGCGCTACCCAGATCTGGGTAGTTGATTCTGATGGTCATGACTGAACTTAATGGTTCTGATTGGCTTGATATAAATATCAATGACAGTTGGACTTTGATTTTCAAAATCAAAATAGTATTTTCTTGGCACTTGATGGTCATTGTAAATTTTACTTCTCCCTATGCTTCAAACTACTAAATTTTTGATACAAAAATATTTCTAATGTATTGCAGATTAATATGATATCTAATTGAACGGATGAAATGCAACAACGAGTTGAAAATAACTGCAATACCGGAGCATGATGTGGTTTGTTTACGTTAGCCAGAAAAGTCAGAACTTTGTTGACTTTTGAACTAAGCCAATCAGAATCTATTGAGTTTAACTATGACCAATCTAAATCAACTACCCAGATCAAGGTAGCACAGCTGGGGGTTGAGAATCAATGCCACAAATTTTCAGACTGTATTACAGCATAATACAATTTGTACACAGGCTACAAAGAAGCGTACTTGGCCCTCTACTGTTTCTCGTTTATGTAAATGACATTCCTTCTACTAAAACCACTATGGAATTGGGATGTATTGATTAAATAGGTCATTCCAGAAAACATCCATACCTTCCTGTGGAAGAAATTGGAAGTTTACCCCCATTTCAGATGTCCTAATGTACTTACTATTATCAGAAACAAAATTTTTCCCCTCTCTGGATTGCAGAAATTTCCTCCGTGGGGGGAGTGTGGATCTTTTCTGAAACGACCCATTAGAGGAAAATAATGAAGTCAGGCGCAATGCAATCCAATGGGTAATAGGTTCACCTAGTCATCCACCCGTCTTTGTTGTTACCATTTGTGGTCAATCTTGAAGATTGAAGATTTTATTACATACGTTTATGTTTCAAACATTACATGTTTGAGTGCCAAACATGTCAGGTTTGTTAATGAATGTGAGATTGTTTACATAAAATATCACTATATCAGTATGTTTTGTTCACATGCATGCCAGGTTGCAACTTTTCATATTTTTGAGTGCCACACTTGTAAAATTTAAGCTATTGTGCAAGATAAAATGAAACATATATGTAACGATCAAAATTAAAAACATATTCATATGCTACCAAAATTGAAAAATCAAGGTTTTTAACCTACGATTTTACTCGTCAGGGTGAGAGTACTGCCACTCAATGGGTTAATCAGACTATCTGCCCATACACCCTGTTAACCCTTTAAGTGGCAATGCACCCAGTTGCGCCCCACTTTATTATTTTACTTGGTCTAACGCCAGACAAGTGCTGCCACTCAATGGGTTAAACATTGAGTCAACGGTGCATAATAGTTCATGTTTGAAATGTAAACAAATGTGTTCAAATCGTCAAGTTTCTAGTTTGAATTTTGAGCATTTGATAGAATAAACATCTATTCCCGTTCGCAATTAAATATTTTGTTTATTTAGGTGAGACATGGAATCCGTTCAAACTTGGTTTTCAAATGAGAAATGTTCGTGAACGAATCGCCAAGAATCTCGTAGAAAAAGGTGTACTCACAACAGAGAAGCAGAATTATGTATTGTTTGATATGACAACCCACCCCGTCGTCGATGCTTCAATAAAGCAGCGTGTTATCCGCAAAGTTCAGGATTCCGTCCTTAGCCGATGGGTAAACGATCCTCAGCGATTTGACAAAAGGACACTATCCCTAATTTATCTTGCACATTCGTCCGATGTATTAGAAAATGCTTTCACGGCACTTTCTGACGAAGATTACGATGTTGCGATGAAACATGTTCGAGAATTACTAGATCTAGACCCAGAGGTGGAAAGCCAAAAGCCGAACGCTAATGAACTTATGTGGGCTGTTGTGTCTGCCTTCATTAAATAAATTCATATAGGAAAATAGCAGTGGTAGATAGCATCATTTTCGTGGACATTTACTGTGATTTCAACATATTAAGGGATTGGTTTTGGAACGTGCAAGAATCAAGTTTCAAATGTTATTCCATTCCAGTGTTGATCATTTTCTTCAGTTAGGCTTGATCAAATAAGAATGCAAGTCATATCCAAAAACGTATTGAATGAATCTGTTAGCTAAGTTCACATTAAGGCTTAAAAATTATCAACAGAATAAAAACGGTTTGGAGAATTGCTGAAAATACAGTAGCACTCCTTGTCTATGTTGGTATATGTTTCACAAAAACTTGTGGGTCATTATGTGTATAGGTCGACTTTACGTTAACTTATGTCATGGCAACCATGCATTTTGGTGGTATTTCGACAAAAGAATGTCAATTGTCATTGAATTTGGCACGAAGGGGCTGTTCATGTGAGTCGGGCTAGCTGGGGTGAATACTGAATAGTGTCACGAAAATCTTTTCTAATCATAAAAGATAATTTGAAAGAACTTTATACTGTTACTGGAATCTCCTGGCTCTATATGAATAGCCCCTAACATGGCTGCCGTTTTATTGTCTTGTAAATCCAAAGAGATTGGTTGCAATGCACCCAATGCATTTTTGCCTGACCGAACAATAGCATTGCTTAAATCATGTATGGTTGCAGCCAATATGGTAGGATATGGATATGGTTATGCAACCAGAAAGCATTTTTCCAAAATGCAGCTTTGTTACTGTGAATGTTTTGTTGTGTTACTGTAAATGTTTTGTTGGGCGCCTTTTGTAATACTTGATGTGTAAAGGCACGAAAAACATAAATGGCCTTACAGTCGTGCCAATAAAATGGCCTTACAGTCGTGCCTAACTTCGAGGAGTTCCTCTGAACAATTCCTCAACAATTTGATAAGTTCCTTAAAAAGTTCCTAACTTCCTGTTTCATTGACCAATCAGATTGCTCAAAAATAAAATATAAAATTTGATTGGTCAATGAAACAGGAAGTTAGGAACTTTTTAAGGAACTTATCAAAATTTTTAGGAATTGTTCGGAGGTGTTCCTTCAAGTTAGGAAATGAACTGGTTACTGGTCAACGCTGATATTGGCACGACTGTAATAACCACGAATCCTGTTTGACTGAGCAAGTTTGCCAAACCATGCCTGCTTAAGGAGACGGGCTAGCCTGGCTAACTCGGCTTCGACACTTTCCTAAAATAAAGTTGATGGAAATATTCGGTTTAGAATAGGCTGGACATGTTGGTGGTATTTCAACAAAGTAATCTCATTATCTTTTTTGAATTTGATACCAATATGGCCATTGTCTTATTGTGTGTGGTTTAACCCCGCCTATAAAACGGCCCTTTGCTCGTATACTTTATCCACCAAAACTATCTACCATTCACTGAAATTGTACAAACCGATTAGCATATCACATAAGCAAGAACAATCATTACCATCTACAGCTGACAGTTATAAGATTTGTAATTTATGGAACTCCGAAATCTGACTATTTAAAATGCTCTTATCTGGTGAACGAAAATGAATACTGTATTTTGATGGTTACTTGTAATAACAGTGGGTACTTGTATGTAATAATGTAGAATTTTTTAGTAAATATATTTTTCGTTGACTCAATATAGTTGTGTCTTCTTTCGTACTATTTATTTATTAAACAGGGTTCGTAGCGGTCTTTGAAATCCTTGAAAGTCTTTAAATTTGATTTCAGGTCTTTAAGGTCTTTGAATTGTGTGAAAAAGCGAAGAAAATCTTTAAAAGTCTTTAAATTCTTTAGTGAGTATTTGATTATACGATTCCCTAGCTAATAAAATAGATCGATTGAAGCACGATTTTCGCAAATATCGACGAAAAGGTGGATTTTAGGATGTGATTTGACGCGACTAATTACCGGGTAAAAATAGTGCTTACACTCGCAATTTTTCGACAGCTGATTGCCCTCAAAGGTCTTTGAAAAGTCTATGAAAATAGGCAGAAAAAATCTTTGAAAGTCTTTGAATTTTTTTGGTCTTGGAGACTACGAACCCTGTTAAAATTAGTCTTCTGTTATATTATTTAGAATATGTGTATTTGTGTTTTATTTTCAAACTAAGAACACCATCCATGTATGAGTTGTATTGGTTGGACTTGAAAATATCAAGCATGCTGATATTTGCATGGCGAGAAAATGAGGGCTGTGTCATCCCCAGAATTATCGAAAGAGTCCCTCAAGAGTATCGTGATTGTAACAAGGTTGTTGTCAAGCCGATATCAGGATGTGTTCGCACTGCTTGTTCCCAGTTGTTGTGACAAGTTTGGAACAAATTGTTATCACCTTGTTACAAGTTTGATGACGGATTGACGGTAACAGACTTGCTACGATTTGTTCCAACAAGACTAATACAGGCTGTTCGTAACAAGTTGCTACGAGCTTGTTGTCATCACCTTGTTAACAACGTGTTACGCGCAGACCATATCAGACTTGTTGAAACAACTTGTAACGAGTCTGTTGGCCTCATCAATCTTGTCACAAGATGATAACAACTTGTTCCAGCATAAGCGTACACACGCAAAAATCTCATCTTGTGGCAAGTCTGCCAACAAACCGTCAACAAGTTGTGTTCGCACTGCTTGTCCCAAGTTGTCAGCAAGTTTGGAACAAGCTGTTAACAACTTGTAACAACCTTGTTGATATTATCAGAGTTGTTGCAAGGTTGTTCCAACAAGTCAGATACAGTCATGAATCATCATATAACAATATTGTTACAACCTTGTGTCGTCAACCTTGTAACATTCTTGTTATATGATGACTGTATCAGACTCGTTAGAACAACCTTGTAACAAGTCTGATAATGCCATCAAGCTTGTTACAAGTTGTTAACAGCTTGTTCCGGACTTGTTACAACAACTGGGAATACGCAGTGCGAACACAGCGTTTTTACGTGTGTACGCATGGCCGCGGCCTCGCTGCCCCCAGTTTGTTGGACAAACAAAGCCAGTTGGGCAATATTCGCTTCACAGTCGGGCAATATTGACTTATTAGTATAATTACAAAGGTGATTATCGAAAATTGTGGCCGCTGATTGGTCAAGCGACCTCGGATTATTACTCGATAATCACCTAAGCGGTTTTTTCAAAATGGCGGCGAGTTGTTTTGCCAAAGTGACAGATAAAGAAATAAGTAATTTTAAAGAAAATGCTGTGCCTAAGAGCACGAAAGAAGAGACAAAATTTGGCTTAAAATTATTTCGAGGTAGGAAACTAAGTTGCAGAAATCTGCTTAACTTTATTTCGCATAAAACATCGTTTTATTTTAAATTGCCGTACAATTGTCTAGACATTTGTTTACGTTTGTAAAAATATATTTTCTACAGATTGGTTTCAACAACAGTCAGAATTCACAAATGAGTTTGAAGACATGAGTATTGACGAAATGAACCGAATTTTTATCAAAATTTTATACCTTTCTGTAAGAAAAACTGATAGGAATTACTACAAGAAACATCCTTGATGGCGATACGAGCGCCTTCATTGCGCATACCGCTTTCTTTATTGAGATGTGTTATATTATTTTTTTCAAATAATCACCTTTGTAATTATACTAAAACAATTATTCGCCTCAGGCTCGGTGAATATCGCTGAATAAAAACCTCGACTTCGTCTCGGTTTTTATTCAGCGATATTCACCTCGCCTTCGGCGAATAATTGTTAATTATAAAAATAAATGGGACAAATTCTGTCAATTTTGTGGGAAATATGCTATCTAATAGGAATTTTTCGTAATCACTCCCCCCCCCCCTTCTTTCCGCCCCCCCTAATTTTTTCCTTCCCGTACGCCCATGTGTTTACGAGGCGGGGGCACGTACATCTATGTCACAGAATAGGAAGTTATACCAGAAGCGTAACTCGAGCAAATATTTGTCCGCGTTTTTACAAGCGATTCGTCATCAATCACGCCATCCTGGCTAGTACAACCGGCACTTTGTACCTACCAAATCCTGATAAAAACTTCCGGCTGTACTAGCCAGGATGGCGTGGCCTGACGTGAGCGAGTTAAAATTTTCGTGGACGTCAAACAATAAGGGAAACGACTGGAGTTACGCTTCTGGTATAACTTCCTATTCTGTGTCTATGTGGTCTAGACTTGTCAAACTGGGAACAGCAGTGCGAACACATCTTGTTGGCAAGGGAACATGGTGAAATCATTGACATTGAGGAGGGGAAAAGGGAAAAATTGGAACAAACACGGGAACACCCCTCCCCCCCACTGGGAGATTCACCGATTCACGCGACATTTTTGGTAAATCTGGCTAACAAAACGATAGGCAATCACGATCATAATTCATAAACTATTTCGTCATTCCCCGCCGAAATTGACGCTACATCTAATATAAATCCGTCTAAGATGAAGTACTTAGACAGATTTATCGTGATTTCAGACATTCGCAATATCAGCAAGAGGCAGAATATTAAAGACAGGTTCTTTTTATAAATATTTTTTCAAGTTTCCAAAACAACAATAAAACATTTTTAAACTTCTAATTAGACTCGCTACGAATTATTTTTGTATTTTTTTGTCAATTTTTGAATCCAATATGGCGGTCGTGTGTACAACAGACCGCCGAACCTCGGGAATGCATGCTCAAAAATAATTGCTCACAAAATGGCCAAATTTCAATATTTGAATCCCTTGGGCTTTACGGCTTTGTTTATGTAAATAAAGTACATTTCACCCTCTTTATTTCCTTTCAGCGGTGTCCGAAAGAAACTTCCACTCAAGCAAATCATGATCGAAGCACGATCGCGAAGCTTTCTCAAATCGCTTGGCCACGGAACAGTGAGACAAGTAGATTGACCTACATGTTACATTCAAAACACGATGATGCTTATTGACACTCAAATAGGCATCGTATTTGGCCAATATCGGTTATAACCAGTCGTGGATTATCGAGAGGCAAGCAAAGTGATTTGTATATCGTGAGAAACAAAGTTAGGACAGCATTTCTCCACGAAATCGATTCTGCCAATTTTGAAAACCGTCTTTCTCCTTCATGTTCGAGATTCTGTATTTCTACGTGGATATAACGTATAACTATTGACAAAATCGTGGGTATTTTGGTAAGCAAAAGGTTTATACATTCGTTTGTGTATTTTTGTACAATAAGTGTTCAGAAATCTTGCGTAAAAGCTCTTTGTATATCTTAATTATATTTATGATATTTTAGTGTTCGATAATTCTCGCAAGGTCGAACGTATAAAAGTCAGGCTAATTTGTAGTGAGTCGTGTACTCGCTACAAATTGTGTATAAATTCAATAATAGATTGGCATTATTTAGGCAACTTTGAAGCTAGGTTTAGCCTTATGTTTAAACTATATTCTAATATTATTTAAAAGACTTATAATTCAAAAGGAAGGATAAAAAACAAAAATAAACCGACTTCCTTTGTGTATTGTGCTTCCAGAATAGCGTAGGCTAAAGGAATCGAAAAGGGGAAAAAATAGATTCGTTTATTCCGCAAACTTACACAGTGTGACAGTTCAAAACAGGTTAACAAATACATTGCTTACGTATTTTATAAGGTGAATAAATTATGTTCATGGCGATGTTGTTTATGAAACGCACACTGCGATATTAAACGTCTTTATGACCCTATCTCGACCCTGTTCGTAAAACCTGCGCCGTGTACCTTTGTAAAAATTTGTACACAAAACCGAAAGTGAAAATCATTCAAAAATTGTCAGGTATATGTCTAGAATCACGGGGAAGCGTCGGTCAAGTTTGCACAAAGTATTGATGTATAAATTGTCGTGTTGTAATCTCGTTAATTTGTGCTCAAATATATATAATAGTAGTTAAAATTTTGGCCAGGAAAATCAACGCTTCGCTCCCGTACTCTTATTTTTGATTGCTATATATCAAATTTCATACGAACTTTTCAACAAGGGAAGTCACGCGCTAGGTTTGTAATACGTTATTCGTTTAGCGATTTCATAAATAAGCATTGGATGCCATGCTTAAATATTTGTGTTTTTAAAGTCAATTTGTGAAATATAAGTTATCCAATGTTGCCAATACGTACTAACATTTGTTCTGCTCTGAATGTAATTCGTGTTAGTTTTTCCTGTTTGAATAAATTCCCCAAAATAAACATTTTATTCTCCAATTTTTATTCAAACGAAATGCATAGCAAACAGCGTGTGTCTTTTGTGGTGTATCAAAATGAATTACAAATTTCCAAATTAATTTCCGAACTCTCGATTAAATACGAAGAAGAAACGGTGTCTGTGCGCCTTTCTAGTTTTGCAACTCAAGTTCAAAACACTTCAGACTGTTTTCGTGAGCCTAAACTAGTCAAAAACCTATAAAAGTGTCGCTACTTAGCGAAAAAATAAATTAGATAAAAATTTTTAAAAGCCACTCGTGTTAAAATTTAATTTGCGACATTTTAATTCTGAAATGCATCCATGAAAGCACTGATATCAAGTTCAAAATAAAGCCTATATTAATAATATTTTCCCGCGTTTTCATAAGTCGTGCTGAGCCTTTTTGGCACCGCTAAATTGACGTGTTTTTTAAAAATAATATTGCTTCCGAGGGTTTTCCTCATGAATATTGTTTTAAATATATATATATGGGTATAATCTTGGCCTTTCTTTGCTACATTCGCCATTCGGAATATGTTGCAAAATATATTATCGTCCGGTACGTCCAGCTGATAACAGTCAAAACGTTTAAAGCCAGACATCTTTTAAGCGTTTTCCAAACAGCCACCTGCCGAAATATTTTAAAATTCAAAATGTGCATTAAGTCCAGGTATATTTAGCATGCTTTTGAGTTTGGACAGCACTTTAAAATAGCATAATTTGCAAGGCGCTTCTTTATATTTCAATATAGAGCCTAATACAGAGAAAGGTGCATATAAAATGGCCAACACAAACGATGTCGTTTTTCGTCATGTGAATCGAAACGATTTGGAGCGAAGAAGTAGACCAGAATCGGCCCACAAAGGCAACCTAAAACGTCTCAAAACCAGTAGCGTCGGCGGCTTTCAACGATGGGAAAAAGAGAACGAGTTGCTTTGGGCAATGCTCGAAGACGAAACGGAATGGCTTGCGAAACTGTTCCCCGATATTATTATCACGCCAGAGCTGTTCTTCTACGCACTAGAAGACGGTGCTATTCTCTGCCGTTTGGCAAATCTCATACAAGAAGCGGCCGACGATTACGGCAAGAAAAACAAAGTCAAAGTGCCCGCGAAAAGGTTCAAATTTCACGCAAGCATACAGAAGAAAAATAAGCAGTTGGCATTGTTTAAATCTCGCGAGAATGTGCAAGGCTTCCTGACGTGGTGTAGACAAATTGGAATTTCTGATTCGATTCTATTCGAATCAAATGACGTGGTCGAGGCGGACGAATGCAGAGAGGGGTGCAGGGAGGTAGTCATATGCTTGATGGAAATCGCCCGCCGTGCCTCTGGGATGTTTAAATTCACGCCTATTCCCAAACTCATACAACTGGAGAAAGAAATCGAAATTGAAGAACAGAAAGAGGCCGAGGAGGAGAATTCGTTAGATCAAGTGGATTACGCGAGCTCGGACGATGAGTCGAACACCAGTTGCCCAAGTCCAGAGGCGCACTCCCCACCCACCAACGACGGGGGCAATCACACCTCACCCGGCGGAAATAAAAAGAAATCAAAAAAGCATCAGCCTAAAAGCGAATTGGACAAAGAGGTAAGGTTTAAATATGTTTTTAATACAAAAGTTTTTGTTTACATTTTAAAATAATCTAGTAGTCACTTTGCACCTGCAAAATTGTGAATGTGGTAGTGTCAAATTTCGTGAGGCATGTTGGAGGCACACATTGCAATATTCATCGTTCTGATGAATAACGTACATATTATAATAGAATTTAAAATGAGCAAGCAATGAAATAGCTTTTTTCGAAAAAATAATTTGAAGAATGAAGGGTTATTTTAGAAAGATCTCAGTACCCTAATCGTCGTTGTCGATTAGTTAAAGCCCATAGACGACGAGCAAATTTTCATTGACAAGTTTCCTTGACAAATGTACCTTCTCGTGTGTGTGCGGTGAACAAGTTTTCCTTGACTGTTTTTTTTGTTCGTGTGCGAAGAATGTTGTTAAACATTTATCTCACGTCAAGGCCACCGTTTTTGTTTGCCAAAACCATAGAAGTATTTGTTGTATACTTAAAGTTGAATAAATTTCCCTTGTCCAAAAGATGGCGTGACTAGTTTAGTTTTTTTTCTGCTTGCCAAGGGAAAATTGTCAAGGAAACGTACTGTGCTTAAAGCCTTAAACGGTCGGTCATTGAGTCATTTGACATATCAAACATTTCAAATGAATATGGCATTGTCTCTTAAACGCGAGGGGTTAATACCCTTAGGCCTTTATAATCTTCCTACATGCAGTGACATGACGCGTATTTGTGTGCTCGAAGTATGGATTATTACGGATTCTACTATTTTTCTGCCGTATTCGCGATTCACAAGCAAATATCATGAAGCCTATCACGGAGAATGTGTTAGACACAAGGTCAAGCACCCTCTATAACCCTTGTTCTCGGTTTAATAATCAAGGCTTCACATCAATTTCAATATATCCCCGTTATTATGACGCAGTAATCTATAATTCGAAATCGAATTGGACATGTGGCGTACTTCTGTTCCGGAAAACGGCTTTGATAAATCTATTAAATGCAAACATTTATATAACGTCAATGAATATTTCCGTTGTGCCTTTTATCTGGCAAAATTAGATTTAAAATTGATTGGGATAGAAAATTAATTGAACCGGTATGAAACATCTGTTGGCCGTTCGCAATGACGTCATGGCAAAATAAACGCGCACGGACAGAGGACTAGAGACTAGAGTCGCAAAATACGACGAAAAGGACAAGGGATCAGCTGCGAGTAACTTTGTCCCTTTCAACTTATGAAAATTTTCCGCAGAAAGAAAATTTTGTAAAAATGTGATTTGCCAACACAAATTTTCCGTCGGAGAAAAATTTTTAATCGGAAAATTTTCTGTTCGTGAAAATTTTTCTTGACCGAAAATGGGCCCTTTAATAATAAGAGTCTGTATGTTCTTAAGGCGTGCAAGCAAATGTTTACGCTATAATGCTCATACAAATAATATTTATTATTATTAGAATAATATTTAAAGAGGGTGAACAATATTATTAAACTTTAAAATATTTGTGATGAGTGACAAAAGTGACATAATGAGTGACAAAAGAGGAATTCAACTAAATATGTACAAGAATAATGCATTACTATGATTACTATGATAAGAGCAACACGAGAGTTAACTATAAATATTACATATATACAAACTACAATTTAGGTATAGGTTCATGGGAGTTGACCAAAGAGGGTTTGCATGAAGGATTCGTCGACTCTCATGGCTTGCTCTAGAGTAGTAGAGTTGCATGAGAGTTGGCAAACGTGAATTTGCATGAGCTTTTCAGCTTTTTCTTCAACCAGAAACCTAACGAAGACTTTGTCGTTGCGGGTGTGTAAAGTTCCAAATTACCTGAAATTTTAAATTATGTTTTACGTTACCTATATTCTATAAAAGCAGTTTTTGAAATTTAGTTTTTCATGAGTAATTGAAAAGTATATTCAAGAGCAGGTGTTTCTTTGGAAAGAGTATATTGGCATAATAGGATACGGGGCTAAACCTACTATTGGAGGTTCGGCGGATTGCTCACCTCGGGGGAGCATGGCAGCATGCCATGCTCCCCCGATGAGGTTTTTGAATATTTAGACCCTCAGAACTAAAATTTGGTCTTCTTAACTTGCATTCATTTTTAATTTCCTACATTTTTGCCTGTCAATGCTTTTATAATTTACCCGCTGAAAATCCGCTTGAACCATCTAGAAATTTACCTGAAATTACTCCTGAACAAATTGGGGAGGAGGGGGGGGTGGGGGGGTGGAGAGGGAGTGTTCTACCTCCCAATACCGGTCGCTATACCGTGTCTGTCTTCAACCCTCATGACTTGGTCAAACGAAACAAGAATTGTACGAGAGTTGAGAATCGAGAGTTGGTTTGCTTAGGAATTTCTTTAACTTAAAAAAAGTACGTTGCATGCGGAGAATTGACAAGTGAGAGCTTCCATGAACGATTGGTCATGAACTATCGTGTGAAACGTTATCCGAAAACGTAGGGTTTTATCAGTGTTTAGGACCTTTACACTGCAAAAACTTCCTGAGTATTTTGATTAAAAAAATTGAGTAAAATGAATGCACATTAAAATGAATAAAATTGTCCGCAAATTTACTCGATTTTTCGAGTAAGCTTTCAAATTTATTTATTTTTTGAGTAGAGATTTACTTTGCTCGAAAACATGGGTAAATTTGCTTATAAATTTGAGTATGTAAACTATAGTCTATACTCAATATTTTCAGTCTTTCTGGGTACATTATTGTACTCACGTTTTTTTAGTCAAATGTTTTTGCAGTGTATATAATATAGGCCTATAAGGGTTTGAGTTAGGACCTTGTTATAGGGTCAGTTGTCATTGTCGGTGTTATCGAGGACTCGAAATTTTGTGACTCTTTTTGAACTGATCACAAAACAGGATGTATGTTTGTGCAGATGGACCGTGGGACAGTGCATGCTTTGCGATATTAATTTTTAATTCGACCATAAGTACACAAGTGGTCTTCTACAAACACAGTTCGAAAGTTGAGTCTATTTTTGGTGTTATAATGAAACTTCAAAACGTGATCTGAGTGAAATGTCATCTAGCCGATTGTCTGAATACGTCTATATGATGTGTTTATTTATTTAAGTTAAGACTTTTGTTCAATATTTATACTTGGCGGCTTATCTGGTTGACATGCAATGTCTGATTTGACTGATCTCAAGTCTATTAAAGATCAGCAAAGTATTTGGGGTTATTTGAGAATTCCTGATGGCTACTTGTCTTAAGTGTTTCTAAAGGCCCGTTTATACATTTTCAATGGACCATTTGCATTATAGACTAAATTTTGATCTAAACAAGTCTAGACAAAAATTTCTTCACAGCTTGAAAGAGCATCACAAAATTAGTAATATTCCAAAGTTTCGTTGCAAAATGTTGTAAAATGCGGATAATATAGCCCTGCGCAGTTTGCAATTTTCAGTCATTTTGTATTACAAACGGGAAATTGATGCCCCAACACCCCCATTGGACTGTCAATTTCCCGTGCGTAATACAAAATGACTGAAAAACGACAAACTTCGCAAGGCTATATTATCCACATTAATCAACATTTCGCAACGAAACTTTGGAATATTACTAATTTTGTGATGCTCTTTCAAGCTGTGATGAAATTTTTGTCTAGATCAAAATTTAGTCTATAATGCAAATGTCCATTCTCGCTGCAATTTCTAATGCGATTTTCTACCTCTGATGCATGTGAACGAGTGGCGAGTCATGAATGTTCTGAGCATACAGGACTCTTCATATGAACATCCATACCTCGTCTACTCATTCATATACATCAGAAGAAGAAACTCGCACCCATGCATAATCGCAGCAAAACGGGCCCTAAATTGACTTTTTACAAAGACATGCCAAAGTCACTAAAAAATAAACCACGCATGCATTAAACTAATTTTCTTTCATAACTCAGCCAACAAATTCAATATTCAAACACAACAAGTTATTAATATACTGACTTTGTGATATTCTAAAGACTAATATCTGATATTAATACATGTACATTTCGACCGAACATAAACCATCAGAAATTCTAATGATAATCAGACAGACCTTGAAAAAAGTTCGATCTCGAGATACTGAGGGCGTTTCCTTTGCGCGAAGATTGAAGAGATATTCAAATTTTCACACACACTTTTGTGGGATAATCCTCACTTCAGGAATCATGTTTGCTTATCTGTCATTTGAGATTGTGAAGTTTTATTTCAAAATAATCCACTGCGCATTAAGTAAGTTTCCATTTCATATGCATGCGCATCCAAAACAGCTGTTTTGCATGCGTTTGGATAGAAACCTTGAGTTTGAATATCTATAGAAACCTTGGTTTGGATAGAAACCTTGAGTTTATGTCAATTGAACTATAATAACACGATTCTGAGACTGCACGAATTAGGATATGCGTGTCAAAGTATTCAACTTTTCAATCATCTTTTGAATATGCAAAAACGTGGTCAAAGAACAATTAGTTTTAGGAACATTTATCGCGTTTTCCAATAATCCAATATTTATACAAATTGTCAAATAGATGTACTGCCATGACCATGTTTGTGATGTTACTCTGAGTGTGCATCCACAACGTACGGGCAAGCTGAACGAGCACTACGGTGGGAATCGGGGAACCCGCGACCTTTGGGATACTAGTCCACATAACACCAACACACACACACAAAAAGATATACTACCATTTGCAATCAAACGTTAACAGTAAACGTTATCAAAGTTTGTTTAGTTTCAAACGTAAATGCTTGGCATTTACACATAGGTCCCGCCCATAATATTGTTTTATAAATGTAAAAAGCGAGGTTTTCGGATCAAATAAATGGCGTGTTTTGACGACCGAATTATGTATTGTGGGTATAAAGCTTTCACTTGTACACAGACATTAATTGTATTTAATATTCACTGTAAAATCGATAAAAACGGCAAACGTTCTAAGAGGTACTAACAAACGGGAAAACGTTTACAGCTGACGGTGCATGGCTTGCAAATGGTAAGTATAGGTTATTTTGAGGCAACGAGGGGATATGCGATTTATTCATCGAGGCGCGCAGCGCTGAGGTGAATAAACACATATCCCCGAGGTGCCTCAAAATAACGTATTTATTTTTCACATTGCGAGGTCGCGTTAATGAGTCAGAATAGACTAATAATTCTTAATGCCATATTGCCTTCGTTATGTTGTTTTTTCTCATTTTTTGTGCTGCAAAGACATTGCAGGTGAATATTAGAAGGGATTATTAAACGGAAATTGATTAGAGGGGAATATTGAATATATTCCCCGGTAAGAACAAAGGAAACCGAGCAGGGTGAAAAAAAAGTAGTGAACATTCCAGGCAGTTGAATCCCTACGTACGCTGGCGCAGGCGGTCGAATGAATTATATCATCATATTAGCATCCTTTTGTTGCAAATTTTCCTAAATTTATTATTACAGCTTTCCTATGCAGCGATTCAGCTACCCTTCAGAAGCTTTCAGAAATTGTTGTGCAGGGGAGGGAGGGGGGAGGAGGAAGGCAATCCCCCCACACCCTAGACCTATAGTGTCTGTCACTGATATAAGGAACGACTATACTATAGTATACAAATAATGAATGTTTATGAGTGCAATGGTAAGAATATTTTCATGAGGTGAAAGATGGAATGTTCCATTCAACGAGGCGACAGCCGAGTTGAATGGAACTCTCCATCTTTCACCGAATGAAAATATTCTTACCATTGCACGAAGAAACATTCATTATTTGTTTTATATAATACCAAAATAGACTGATAGATTCGTATGAGAAGCATTTTGAGGGATGCGATTTATCGAAAACACAAAGAGTGCAATTGTACTATACGTTTTATTCCATTGCACTCGCGGAGAGTGCAATGGAACGTGTTCCATTGCACTCTTGGGAAATGGAATTTTCTATTCAATATCACGTGACCATAAACAGCCAATTAAATGATTAGAATTTAATAAGGTATTATATAATCTATTCTATATCATTTGATACGATTTTAGTCCATTTTAGTTCTGGGCTCTTCTGGGCTCTAGAGTCCAGTATATATACAGTCGAATCATAGATAATTTTAATGTGCAGTTCAACCAATTTGTGCAGTGATAACGTATGTTGTGCGAAATTCTTAATTGATCAGATCCCATTAATGATTAAAACTACATCACTTATCGAGCTTAAAGGGGCCCTAAACTGAGTTTAAAGTCCAGCCTGGTTTATTTAGTTCTATATATATTCAATAACATTTTCCTGGGGGGGTACTAGTAATCTTCGAACTGGCAGACCCACTATTGCTTATGGAATTTGCAGTGATAAAAATTTGATAAAATTAATTATGAGTCGAATATATTCTGAGCCATTTTGTTGAGAAGACTGTATAGATTTTTGCATAATTGAAATAAATTAAGGTACGCGGTACAGCGGTACTGTACGCTTGATATGGTAATGTATTCCTTACAAGCGAAAAGATCCAACCCAGACCAACGCGTGTATAGACACATTAATTACTGTATATACTACCATAATTAGACCTGTTTTGGAGTACGCGTGCCAGATCTGGCATTACAATATCCAACAATATTTATGTGAAGATATTGAAAAAATTCAAAAACGTGCATTGAAAATAATCCTTCCGTCGCAAAACTATGACGAAGCACTGATCACGACTAACATCACGTCGCTGAGAGATCGCCGAGAAAAATTATGCGAACATTTCTTTGAGAAGAATATTGACAATGAAAATCTCAAAGATCTTTTACCACAAGCAATTTTATCTGGATATGATCTAAGACCAATATGTAAATATCATAATTATGTTTGTAGAACTGAACGTTTTTAGAAGTTTTACCTCAAAGTATATTAAAGATCAACAGTAAATAAGTTTTTAGAAATGTAAATACTCTTAAATATGTAATAATTATGTAATTTTAACTTCTCTTAATTTATATAACACTGGTGTAATTTAACCTTTTTGGGTTACAAAGTCAGTAATCGTTGGTAGAGAGGCAACTACCCGAAAAATACAAAGAGTCTCATTATCACCCGACTGTATTATTTCGTCACGCAATATATATGTACCGCCCGACAAAATATTTCAAGACAGTTTAATTTTTTTATATTTTATATTGGTTTTCAGTGTTTAAACTGCCAACTTCAAACAAACATAACAACCTCAAATGAAATTTCATTGCTGCATTTTACTGTAAAGGGACTTCGCATACGTTTATTTCGGATCACATTAAATGTTATGAATTATTTTTTATATATTGATATATAAATTATATAAAATATAGACCGTCTGCTTGTTGGCCTGTTTCAAAATGTAGTCGTGAGAATCAAGGGATTTATTTTATGTGGCCTAATTATAAGTAATCTATTTTGTTTTAAATAGGTGTTCAAAATTATCGATAACTTCAATTTATATAATATAAGAAAAATCAAGGAAGGAAAATATATGATTCTAGGAAAAATCATCTTCGTTCGGGTAAGTGCTGTGACTTTGTGGAATGTTTTTCATGATTTCTTAATAAACGTTTCTATTCCTCTTATGTCGCTATTCTTGTTTCGTTACTTTCTGCTTTCAATGTCTTTCTTGTTTGTTTGTCTGTTGTTTTTTTTTGCGAGGGAGTTGCTCGTTCCTCTAATTCTCCCATCCCTCATAATCATCCTTAGGCCAAAAAAAAAAATATGTGGGTTTCCGGTTTCCCGACCCTACCTAGCTTTTGGACGTCGAAATCCCGACCCTAAACTTTTTTATTGGATCATGGTTGTAAGTGTATCCACTTAGAGGAAAAAGTTTGTGGAAAATTGAAATTTGAGGCAATATTAGGGAAATTTATCTTTGGATGTGGAAGCACTGACTAAACAAAATGGCGTCCGCTTGTTCGGAAAATTAAAAAAAAAGTTAAAACCGACCTACCCTACCTAAGTTTTTATACGAAGAAACCGGAAACCCACATATTTTTTTTTTGGCCTTACTTGTAGCTGAGAGCTAAGTTGAATTATGAGAATTACGAAGGACGCAGCTCAACCTGATCGAGTTGAAGCCGCTCACTGGCAGCCACCTTATGACTCAAGTCTGATCACCGAGCACCGCTACGGTGGTAGAGCCAGTTAGGGGCTAATCCCAACCCACCCTGTCAACATTCCCTGTGGGAGGAAACCGCTGTACCCGGAGAAAACCCACGACTTTCGGTACACGCGTAAAAAGCGTGGAGTGTGACGCATTGAACTATAAATAAACTGGAAGGCTATCTCAGGGGGGGGGGGGATTGAAGCCAGTGCATTTTAGTTTTTCTGAGTTATGAGCAGAAATACTCAACACTGAACGTTGGGCTATATATCAAATTGAAGCTATTGAAAAACGCTATTTGGTGTAGAAATTTCAAGACTTTAGCTAAAAGGGAAATATTGAAAAACTACAAACATAATTACCGATAATTTGCCGTTTTGCAGTTGTTTTTGTATTTTTTAAATATTTTTCTTTTCGCTGAAGTCTTGAAATTTCCACACCGAATAGCAATTTTCAATAGCGTCAATTTGATATATAGCCCGACGTTTGGGGTCAAGTATTTCTGCTCATAACTCAGAAAAACTATTTTGGCTTCATCAAATCATAGGCCTTCATCATAGCAGTTAGCCTTCCAGTTTATTCATAGTTCAATGGTCTGACGCTACTTGCAAGTCAATAGCGAACTTTTGTACGCTATTCCATGGTCGCCATTTTGATTTTGATTTTGTAAGAATTACGTAATTTTTGCCCAAAAATTGACGTCATTCGTCATTTTGTGGTCTACCAAAGGGCAAACCTGGAGTCGGTGGGCGCCACAGGTGGCCCCACCGACTAATAAAGATTTGCCATTGAAAATTTGAAGGAAACCTTAACACCCATATGTCCCACTATGGGCGCAACAACATATGGTTGACAGACATTATTCCTTGAACTGAAAACCATGGTCAGCTAGAACACTATATGTTTATGCACATGCAGATTTAGCACAAAAATGCTCTGTTAGTCTGCAGGATATTTTTGTCTCCAGGTTGTGCTCCCAGGAAGAAAATTGTTTTTTCCTCCCCTGAAATTAAGGCGCTTGCGTTGACGATTGCGTCACCGACGCTCCATAAGGGTCATTTTTTGGTCCAGTGTTACTACAGAGGGTAAAGAATTGCCAGAAAAGCCATCAGTTGGTGTTTGTCAAGCTGGAAAGTAACTATGGTGGATGTAATGTGACGTTGATCATTTTATTTCTCCAGATGTTAAACGGACATGTTCTGCTGCGTATCGGGGGCGGTTGGGACACATTGGAACATTATCTTTTGACTCACATGCCGAAAGTTGGTAAGTTTCGTGCAGTGAAGCCGGTTCCAGACGAGCAAGTTTTCTGTGACAAATTTTCACATGACGAGTTTTATATGTTTTGTCTGTATAGGAAGCTTTGCCAAGTTTTACTGTCTATATGAAAAGTTAATATGCTAGCTTATGGACAAGTGCACTTTTCATAGAAAAAGATAGCAAAGTGAATATTTTGTTCGTCCGTAAGGGTCAACAAAGAAAATTTGGGCACTTTATACATGCACTTGGTCAGCGATCTGTTGATTGTTGTTGTAATAGCAGCTATAATTGACAAATAAAATTTGCCATATGAAATATTTTGGAAAAGAACTTGCTCGTCTGTAAAGAATATGCGTCAATTGATCGTTAACCCAGAACATGTAAAGCAGCTAAACTTTAAACCAACTAAAAACTAAACTTTTTTGACGTGGATCTGCAGTAGCTCTATTACATCATTCTGAACTGTTCTTCCTAGAGTTACTGCAGTGGAAATCAGAGTACCGGGAGAAAACCTGAAGTGCCGTTGGTGTGTAGGGCACTATTTTGGTGTGCAGTATTGATTGAAAAGTGTCAGTATTCCGTGTTATTTTTGAAACAACCATGGACATTGTGTTCAGCCCCCCCCCCCCTTGTTTGAAGTTCCGTGGGGAGGGCTGAGCCCCCTTGTTAAACATTTATGCCAGTTTGGGGGCTGACCTCCCAATATTTTTGCGGATTTCATATTCATAACCTGGAAAGTTCTTTGCAACAGTAGTATTGAAATGATGCGGTGATAGTGATGTTGGTAATCTGTACTTGATTACTATGAGCATACTATTAGATCATGTTACTATTATTACATACTATTATCATACTATTAAAGTATGTGTGTCCAACATGAAATAGCTTCGGTATATCAGAATCTTTTATTTGAAGTCCTTTCTTAAAAAAACACTAATTGAAGAATTACTAGAACCAAAAATAAAGACTGGAACTTTCCATGTTTATCATGTTGCCCCCTCCACGCCTTGTCACCCCGCCCCCCCCCCTTTAAGAGCCCCCCCTTGCTATCATTTCAGTTCTACACCACTCAAACTAAGCATGTAGTTTTTGGGAAATAATGACTATATAGGTATAACTCTAGGGAATGATGACTTTGAAACACATTTACAAAAATTATAAAAACGCTGATACGCTATATGCGACTTGTCTCGCACACGTTGCACGTCAAATTGCCCAGTGTAACACCCCTTGCAATCGTCGAGTCTCGCAACATTTTTGTTGTAGGAAGCACTAGCATTGGACAAAGTAGAATCCGGTTCTATTTTGTACAATGCTTAAGGTTACAGAACACCTTTGAGTGTTAATTTTGCCTAAAATTTTTTTATTCGTTTCCATGAAAGCATTATACTAGTTCTACTATCTGACCAAGTTTGAACGAAAAATGTTGAAAACTCGCAGAGTTATTTAATAAAATACATTTCGCTGCAATAAGAAAAACATTGAAAATGTAATATTCAAATTCAATTTTCTCCCGAAGAATTTTACGGTAATTACTGATTTTCAAACGAGTTGTTCTCCTGCGGGTTTTAACCAATTTTTCTCAAATTTTCACAGGACATAGTTAAAGACGTCAGTTTCAAAATTGTGTTCGGCTTTTTTTAAATTTTGGATATTTTGGATATTTGCTGCCGTAGCGAGCGAGCGTGAAGCGAGCGAGCGAGGCAGCAGTCCTAATCTTTATGTATATGTATATATATATAAGGCAGATGAAATGTCGATCGTTTCGGCGTATTTCGGCCTACCACAATGCACTGCTTCCGGGCCGGCAGGCTATTCTTGCCTGATAAACAGGCATAAGGCAAACAAGCAATGTGATCATCTTTCATCTTTGGTTTTCTTTTATGGAAAGCCATAGCTGGCGCAAGTGATCAAACGGCATTTTGTCGATACGCAGTAGTTCGAGCGTTATACGCGGTGCTTTCGCTATTATACGCAGTGGTTCGAGCATTATACGTGGTGCTTTTCGCCATTATACGCGGTGCGTTCGTCATTATACGCAGTGGTTCGAGCATTATACGCGGTGCTTTCGTCATTATACGGGGTGCTTTTAACATAATTTACATATTCTTTCCATGTATATAATCTCACGATTGCTTAATAAATCTGGTAGGCCTATGTGCTGTGCTTTTTGCCTCTGGTCTGCAATGACAATGACATGCTTTTAAAAAGGAGTATTTATAAAAAGATGACTGCAGTTTGTGAGTTCTTATAGCCTATATTATCATATAGTGTTGATTTATTAGTAATAAATCTGTGTATATAACATAGGTATATAAATTAATATACTGTAACGCAGCAAATGCGCGCCAAGTAGTATAAACGCGGCTGAAATACGATATTAAAATCTTGAATGTGCCGTATGATTTAATTATGTTTTAGGATTTAAAGCCTTTAAAAATGCTTTGTCATTTGTATTTGTACTTGTACTGCATCACAACGCAGTGCGTAAGTGAACAGATTCCACATGTGAGGTTGTCTTGTATATATTTTTGCCTTCTTTGATAAACATTATTAATTTAAACACATGTTAAATGTCACCTGCATGTCATCGTCATTGCTCTTTAACCCCTGGGCTAAATCATATGATTATTGAAGCGGGGCCGTTTTGACTTTGGGCCGTTTTGACTTTGGGCCGTTTTGACCTAGCACCGTATTTGTGGGCAAATTGTCTATACAATTTTATATACTAGATATCACAGCCATACCTGCCATTTTGATCTTTTCCTCGCGTTAGATAAGTTGATAAGTACACTCATTCTTGTTAGCCATCGTACCTGTTCGGCTGTTCCTCTTTCGATACGAAACTTCGAGCGCCGACTTATCATACGGCACATTCAAGTGTATAAATTATGGATGATTCCAATTCATTACGAATATTTCTTACTCTTATTCTTTAAAATATTAATATTAAGAGGCAATTTTTTTTCAGTGTCACGTATTTGCAATGAAAAGTGTTCTAAACCTAAAATCTTTTAGGCGTTCCTCTCAAAATTACTTTGTTTTAGCTTTATTCTCTACAGTTTATAGAGTTAGCTACCTTTTTAAATGCGTCTGCCGGTTGAGAAACATAAAATAATAGTTAAAAATTGCCAATTAAAATACAATTATCAATGATGCCTTAAAATTGACGCTATATTTACAGCCATTTAAGCAAAACGTACTGAACTTCAGACATCATTTTCTCTTTGGCGTATCATCTAAAATCTCTTCGTTTTAGCATTATTTTACAGATAAAGCACTAAACATACTTTTTAAGTTTTTTTTTTACCGATTGAGAAACGTATCGAAAAATAAAATTATTAGTTTTGAGCGCGTGTTACGTAACATACAAAAAATCTCATTTAAAGATTTGGGAACAAGCTATACCAAGGCAGCATTCACTACCCTGTGGGTAAACTAGTTTAATAACCTGAATAAAGAGCAATTCACTCAAACAATTCAGAAATATGTTGCTGTCGTCAAAGAAATCGCCATATCAGCGGAATGACGAAATAAACAAAAATTTCCAAACACAAGTTTTTAGAACAACTATTTTACTGTATAAAAATGATATTTTCATAAATATAACTTAAAACCAGCAGGAGCACAACTCAAAAGCGTAACGGTACCGCGATTTAAGATTTTCCTGAATAATTCTTACATTATTTTATTGTTTGTTAATTTTACAACTTTACAATATTTTGCATACACTGGCGAACATTTGGTGAAAATTTGATTAAAATCGGAATGATATTGAGCGCGCAGTAGCGATTTTCCGCAAAACGCCAAAAAGGGGTGTCCTGTAACCTTAATTCTTGCAGAATAGACCTTTCCCCTTCCTAAACAAAAATTTCATCACAGCTTGAAAGAGCATCACAAAATTAGTAATATTCCGAAGTTTCGTTGCGAAATGTTACAAAATGCGGATAATACAGCCTTGCGAAGTTTGCCGTTTTTCAGTCATTTTGTATTACAAACGCGAAATTGATAATCAGTTTGATCATCTGATTATCAATTTCCCGTTTGTAATACAAAATGAGTTGAAAAACGGCAAACTTCGCAAGGCTATAGTAATACTATCCGCATTTTACAACATTTCGCAACGAAACTTCGGAATATTACTAGTTTTGCGATGCTCTTTCAAGCTGTGATGAAATTTTTGTCCAGACTTGTCTAGATCAAAATTTCACTTAAAAGGGGAAAGGTCTATTGGAAAGCATTAAGAACAGGCTGAACAGCTAACCGAGGTCTCGTCTCCTCCAACTCTCATGCACTCTCATTCTTGTTTGATTCGGGATTTATAACAACTTGATGTTTGTGATGTTACTCTGAGTGTGTATCCACACCGGGCAAGCTGAAAAGTTTACCTGACCACGGTGGGAATCGAACCCGCGACCTTTGGGATCGTTGCTAAAACAAGTTGTTATAGTACTTTTTGTGTGTGTTGGTCGCGGGTTCGATTCCCACCGTGGTCAGGCAAACTTTTCAGCTTGCCCGGTGTGGATACACACTCAGAGTAACATCACAAACATCATATTCACCTGAGTACATAACACCAGCACACACAAAAAGTATTATAACAACTTGTTGTAGCAACAAAATTGCATGCGACAAAATTTTAACAACAAAATTGCGATTGCTCACAGAAAATAAAAGAATATAACCCCCCCCCCCCCCCCCCGGCCTAAAAACAAGATCAAAACCGGACAGACGGAAACGTCATGATATCGTGTCACATGTTTGAGGCCTTTGACTTGTTTATCTTTTGCAAAAGTATTCAGCAATTTCAGCTGCAAAGTCTGCGGGTTAAGTTTTGATCTCTGCGAAATATTTTCGTGAATTTCTCTCGTACTGTATTCGTGAAAGGTATGTCTATAAAAGCTCTTTAGATATCGTCTTGTTGTTTAGTTAAAGAAATCTATTTCATCTTCAAGCAAATTGAATACGTTCTTGCATGCAGACCGTCGCGTCCGATTTTGAAAAACGTTATCTTTGGATTCTTTGCTCTTTGTTTTTACTGCAAATTGTTTTGTTTTCATACAATTTATACCCTAAATCAGCTAGTTTCTGTTTGGTGTGAAATTATTAGTAGATTAGAAAAGGCTTTGGCGTTTCCTCAAGGGGTATTAGATCTATTAATCTTCTGGTACAATATTTTATGCTGTCTTAGTGTGCAATATTACTCAGACATGTGCGAAAAATGCGTGATATTTTTGGAATCGTCTAGCTACTGTCTACGAGATTTAGCGTTTGTTGCGCTCAGCGCTCGTATATAAGGCTGCCTTTAATATCTTCGTGAACTTGTGTATTATTTAGTGTGCAAGCGTTGGGCAAATAAGTGCATTTGTCGATATTTTGGGAAACTTTTTGCCTATTTATTTGACAGCTGTTTTGGCAAGATATATATCAGTATGCAAATTTCTCTGAGTGTCGACTTACATTCTCGAATTCATTAATGATTCATGCGCAACACACAAAGGTTGTGCGAAATGCGAATAGTCCATAAATTTACTAATTTAGTGACTTTTCACCTGAGTCTCTATTTAACAAATTATGAATAGTTTGAATGGTTAACCAATAGACAAATTACAGTAAAAATGCCTCAAGTTATGTTAAGGTATACTTTTCACAGTTTTCAGTGTTTCATATCTCTTTGACAAACTCTTTTTGGAGTGATATGAAATATTCAGGATGTTGTATAAATGGGCTGACAACTATGAATTATAATTCACTGAGTGTGTGAACCTTTCCTGGAGTTATTAATAACACATTGTTATGGCAATGTTAACAATGTCCTGTTACTTCATCAGTTAAAATAAATAAAATCCATAATTTCCTGTTGAACTCTTTGAACAGGAAAGGTGCACCTTGCACTTACTATTTTATGTGGCCTAATGCCAGATGATTTTATTCACCAAGGTGATGAGCTCTTATATCCTCTTGTTGCTCAATTGTTCGATTACTAAGTACAGCATTCATTCAAGGCCAGGTGCATTTTTTTTCTGAAGCAAAGTGGTTTTTGAGCCTGTCACAACTCTGCAGATTAAGAGAGAAATGTAAGCAGAATTTCAATGTTTTGACAGAAGACCCTTTGTTGGGAAGTGAGTAGTGTGGGTCTAATCTCTCAAAACATTTTTTTACTCTGACAATTTACTTGTTGTGAGGAAAGTGTTGGGCATTAATGGAACATGTAGTCAAGGTCATTGAGGATAGGAATGGTGAGGGGGGGGGGGTGAATGTGGGGGGGATGGAGGGGCATTTTCAGGGGCGCCGGAAGCAATGTAAAGCGGCGGGGGCAGCCATTTCAAAAGGGCACTTCATTTTTCTGAGCGGCAAAATTTGTTAAAACTTTACTGAATGGATACTTGATTACTTGTGGCTATTATGGGTCGGCAAACCTCGACCTTAATTTTGAACAATTTTATTTGTTGGTGCGAAATAAAATCAGTAAACGGACGTATATTGCTTGATTTAGCATTAATTTTACTGCAACTGGTTAAAAATAAAGCAAAGATTGCTTAATTTAAACATTGCTTAAGAATAGTTATAAATTCCATTTCCTGTGAATAACGAACAAATTTCGAAGTGCAGTTCCGGTAAAAAGGGCAACCTGTTGCCCCCATGCTGCCCCCGCACTGTTTGGGCAGTGGGGGCAGTTGCCCCCGTAGCTCCGGTGCCCCTGGGCATTTTCTCTGGGTCCAGTATGAGTGTGGGTCAAACAGGCCCCTCACAAATCCTTGCATATGGGTCCATATGTGACCCTTCACCCAATAGGCTTTGGTCTGCATTTGATTTGAAAAGTTAGTTGCGCCAATATATTAGACGTCTGGTATGTGGTTTGCACAGACGAAAAATTGCACTTGCAAAATACATAGACAAAGTCTTTCCACAAAACTGCCAATACCAGTATCCTGACATTTTATGTAATTTCTTCTCTGCAGCACCTGAGAACGGCCATTGTTCAACTGACGCTGCCGTATCACCGTCTGTGGCAAAGACTCCTCAGAAATCACAGTCTCGGAAAATTTTGGACAAAGTCAAGAAAGAGCAACAGTTAAAAGGTAAACACTTTTTCCCAGACTTTAAGGTGCACTGAGTTAATTTAATTAATTTTATATTGGACTGTATTCGAAATTCTGAAGGCAACATGGCGAAATTCTGAAGGCAACATGGCGACGTTTTGAAACAACTACATTTATTTATTACTTTAAAATATGTGTCAAGTGATACGCATATGTGGCAAGCTAGATGATTTAATAGTGTGGAAGGTATATTAATTTGTGATCCATTCCTATATTGGGATTATAAATGGTCAGCAATCTGCTATTTGCCAAGCAAAAACACTAAATGGCCTGTTAACCCAATAAGCTGCAGAACTTCCCCACTGACGAGTAAAATCATCTGGTGTAGACGAGTAAAAAAAAAGTAGGGCGCACTGGGGCATATTGCGGCTCAATGGGTTAAAGATGCGGTACAGTCCGTATGTAAACAAAGGCTTTGTTTACATTTCGGTATGCAAAATGTTGAATCATTATTTGACAAGTATTTATATTTTCATGATTTTAGAGTATAATAAATTATTAAGAGACAACAATCAAGCTTTGCAAGAACATAAAATGAAATAAAAACCTAAATAAACTGTTTGTAAATAAAAAGAGGGCTCCTTTGTGCACATGTGCAGATCGGACTGTACCGCATCTTTAATAATATTCTGTATACAGACATGTTAACAAGTTTCATTTAAATTAAGTACATTTTCTTGGCTTCGCTGTGATGACTGTGATGGGCAACAAGCGGTTGTCAAATTTATTGAAAACAATAGAGAGCAAGAACTTTTCATTTGCATGGATTATTGAGACTGCTTACCAAAACTTATTATGAATGGCCATGTTTGGTCATGTGGGAACTGATCAGCACGACCAATCAATGTAAACATTGAAAAGCTGGTCATCCATTATTAGCCTGTGTCCCAGCAACTGCTCACTTGAGCAGACATTTGTCAGCAGGCCTTAAAATATCTTTTACAGGGCCGTCTGACAAAATGTCCGGTGACGTTGAGTTTGGGTCGGACATACAGTATGTCCGACGACCTTCAGTTCAGTTTTGACTCGTAAATAAGTCTGAATTACACAAATGAATAACAGTAAATGTTGTAAAGATATTAAATAATTTGTTTCTTTCATACTTATTTCCAAGCCAAAATTAACTTGCTTGCCAGAACAGTTTTCGCTCGCCGCCCCGCGCTCGACTATGTTAAAACAACATTTCCAGTTCACCTTTTATACAATAGTACTTTGATTTTCCATTTAACATACAAGCCTCTTAACTAGGGTACATTTTGATATACGTCGGACAAAGCTACAGTTCGGTCGGACACCAATACACTCGGGTCGGACAAACAATAAACCTCAGTTTCATTTTGGTCGGACAGAATGTCCGGTGGTTTCCTTTCTACGTCGGACAGACAATTTCACGAATGGGTCGGACAATGTCCATGACCGACCTATATTCTAAGGCCTGCTTGTCAGCGCAGCTGAGCTCTGATGTTTCGAGCGAATTCCCTTTGTCGAGAAAGGTCGAAGTTCTCACTGCTTATATTTTTCAGGGTTATTGTCTTTACCTATGCTGGCGGCTGACCATTTGAGATTTTATCACAGTACAGCAAAAAGTCTATAACAAACAGTGTTACATCAGACATCTAATTGTATAGTCCATTTCATTTTGGCAATTTTTTGCCAGGCCAATATATTTCACAATTCACACAGTGAGTGTTAACACCTTTGAACAAAGATGTGATTTATTATTTTCTGTAGGCTTTGTTATCCAGTGGTTTTATTCATAAATGTGTTTGGACCGATATTTTCTGCTTTCAAAATGTACAAAATTATCGCAAGGATATTATAATTGTATCACGTGATTTAAAGTTCATGCATTGGAAAATATGTAGTTGTAAACCTTAACTCTTTCTCGACAGACCGGTTTCGCATTACATTAAGATTCAATTTTTCTAATGTAAATATCTCGGCGAGTATTTATCCCCCTTTTAAACGAAAGCCAGCATTGAAATCCTCACAAAATAACCTTTCGAACGGGGTCAAATGCCGTCAAAACATTACACAAACCGAAACAATCATATATTTACTCACCGCTTGGCCAAACATTCTGTATTAAATGACCTTATCTGTTACTAAAGTTATTAAAAATTTATATATTTTCAGACAACAAAATTGTCAACGCTTGTTTGTGAGACACACTGTCAGTGAGAAACTAGTTCCATATTATTCTGACACTCCAATAGACCTTACCGATTATTCTCTTTTATCTTTTATGTTAACTTTTAGCATGTCAGGGGCAGTAAAGATTATATTCCCATGTTTTCCTGGACGAATTTGTTTCTTGCTGTTCTTAGGCTCAATAACAAAGTAATTTTCAACCCTACTAAGCACAAAACATAAGTAAGTATTTGACATGAAAACGAGGCCATTGGGTAAAAGAGAATAATTGGTAAGGTCTATTCGTGAAATTGTCCGACGTAGAGAGGAAACCACTCGTGGACATTCTGTCCGACCTAAGACTAAGTGAAATTGAGGTTTATTGTTTGTCTGACCCGAGTGAATTGGTGCGCGACCTAACTTTGTCCGACGTAAATCAAAATGTGCCCTGGTCCTGGACTAGAGGCTCGTGTGTTAAATGGAGAATCAGAGTATAAATGTATAAAAAGTGAACTGGAAATGTGTAATCAAGTGCGAGGTTTTCACCGTGGGGTTCGGAAATTCATTGCCAAGATTCAAATAACTTTTCCAAATTGTGCTGATATTAATTTGTGTCTACATTCATACATATTCCCAAGCCACACTGAACTCAAAATCATCGGGCATCCATCGGACATCACAATACATATGCCCGACCCAACTCAAAGTCATCCGGAACACTTTGTCAGACGGCTCTCTGACCGATATTTTAAGGCCTGAGTCTTATCCACGATAAATGCACGATATATTCAGAACAATATGAAACCTGAGATGCTTGGTTTGCAAGCGGTACAAAAAAGTAACGGCGTTTGTGTTCACACGAAGCCGCCAAACGCTCCGTTTTCATCTTGTTCCGTTTAGAAACTGTGCTCAAATTGTTACGGTAAAAGTGACGTTTTCAAACAATTTCGCTCCGGCGACTGGCGTCCAATTTCACAGTTGGCTGTTAGCCAATCAGAAACCAGGAATTTTTTAATTAAATAATAATAAAAAATACGAGATAGTATTGTATGAATCACGAATTGTTTACAAATTCTGTCACAGCTGTGTTTCGAGACCAAGAAATATTTGTCACTGAAAAGGGTTAAAAAAACCCAACTCGCAACAATCTGTCAATGGAAAGAGCGCGGTGGACCAGAATCCCTCAAACCGAGATAACGGATTTTTTTGTACTTCTCATTGTCGTACTGTTTATGGAAGATTTAGTTTCTCTAGAAGCAGTGCTTTCATAATATTTTTAAGTAAGCGGCTGTGGTAAGAAAGTAGGTGGCTGTCCTCAATGCAGGAATATTTTTAAGGAAACTATTTATGACAGTATTGTAGAATTACTGTCATCATTTTCTTCTTGATCAATTAGCTGAATAAGCTAAGCTTTGTTGCAGTATAACTACTATACTTTAAGTTCTTGTCAAAGCGATATCTTCTTATAAGAAGGCATTAATACGATAAACACACGGCTTAGAAGAAGAAGAGAAATTTCCGGTACATGTTTCTCCTTCATGGCATTGGTAGTTGCAGCCAGTTTTTGGTTTTCAGACAGTATTGTTAAACTTACAAATCTGACGTTATCAGTTTATTGTTGCTTTTACCTTGCCATTGTTTAAAAGCGAGATGGATGCACAGCATAGTTTACAGAAAGTAGCCGGCAGTGAACCTCTTAACACCCACCGGAGCTTGGGCTTGTTTTGAAAGCCCTGTAGAAATGGTTTTGAAACGGATTTGAGTCACACCAAGTTTTTCAAATTTCAAGACGATCGTGAAGTCGTCATGAAAATATTTTTTTCCACTTGAATTACACAAGACTCGCAAGTAACCCCCGTTGGCTCATTCCTTTGTATTTTACTGTTAAGTAAGTAAGTGGGGGTATGCTAATAATTCTTCATCCTTACTTGCTGTTAAGAGCTGAACTGATTTACGAAGGTCGCAGCTCGACCTGATCGAGTCGAAGCATAGATATCTTTATATATACACTAGATAGATCTCTTTTAGTAAAATTGAAGCCAAGAATATTCCAGCGGTTACCCTCATTTGAATAGATGGCGGCCATGTTGGAGTTTCCCACTCGCTAATAAACGCTTAAAAAACAACAATAACTTTCATCATTTGAGTAGTTTGAAAATGTATTTGGAATAGGTTTAACTTAATGTTTAAGTTCCCTGTTTAAGAAATAGAAAACATACGAGTCTTCTCATTTCATGGGAATATCCGGAGTCTGCAATCACGGCTTCAATTTTTGAATTGCAGAATAATTAGATGCACTATCTAGTGTATCCGCCTTAAACATTCTCGTGCCCAGAGCCCTTCTTACTCTCTGAGTCCGATAATGCTCTGGACAAAAAATTCTTGTTCACTGCTGTGCAAGAGTAACTTGAATAAATGAAGAAGATTTCTACTTTTGCCTTCTGCAGTGCTCCTTAGCTATTATGCGAATTGTGGGATTAACACATTCTGTTTGGTCGCTAACACATTCTGTTTGGTCGCTGCGGTAAACCGATGTCTGACATATGGCGCTGAAAAAAAGCCGCAAAAAAAAGTTCCAAGTGAGCCTGTAGCAACTTTGAAAGCGTAAAAACACCACATTTGTGCAAAATATTTATAAAAAAACATTAAGAAGCTCTTTTTAAAGAAATCATAAGTCGCTGCATGTGTGATTGAAACGATCGTTGTGGAATAAGACCTACTGTCTGACGCTTTTATTCTCTTTAAAATGTTCGTATTTAAAACCTCGTCTGTTTTGAAAAATTTGCAAATAAAGTCGTCCATTATATAATTATAAGTGAAACTATTTGTGTAAATAATGGTCTACCCCACGCGAATTTATAATGAGTTCATATAACGCTGTTTTTAAATTCGATCGAAGATCACGAGAGGTAAATAATTTTACTCTCATAAAAGAAGTTGTCTGTTAAACGTATTCCCAGAAACGTATTCTCAAAATGGCATACCGAAAACATTTGTATGAAATTAAATCAATAGAATATTTCGCGTTTGAGTGTTCAGCTTGCTCTTTGTGATTTTGACGTACTGGAATTGGAATGAAATTATGAAAGAAGGGAAAGGAAACGGTAAACCAGTCAGTATAGAATGGGATTTTATTTCAAAATGTTATTGTCTCAGGACCCACAATATTTCATTTAAAAACAGAAAATTTCATCGCGTTGCCGTTGAGAAAACGAGTTCCGTGTGTGGATTTAAAATATATTTTAAATGCATGTGTTTTTGTTTTCACTTTATTTGTTCAGTGTTTTGCCTTTTGTTTTGGCGTCTGCATGTGTCTATTTAACCTTGACAGATCTCTGATATATTCTTATCATTGGCTTTGTGTGAATAACTGAGTTTCATTGTGCTGCCAAAATCTGTTGTGACATCAAGTCGAGTTTAAAATTTTTAATTATTACATCTCATGAGCCTGATGAGAACATTTGCCGCTCATAAGAGTTTATCAGAAATTCAGCTAATGTCTACTGTCGTAATGAATAATGCCCCCTGTCATTCGCTTTGTGCTAAATGCTATATTATATATTTAAATATGCATATCTTTCAAAATCTATGTGTAGCAAAGCTGTATTTGCGCAAAATAATATTGTGAGAATATCACCGAGTGTAACATTTTAATAGTAGACGATAGTACAAAGTTCACAAAATGTCTGAAAAATTATACGAGAATGTACAAGAAGCAAGGTAGCACTATTTATACAATTATGATATTGCATGTTTAATGTATGATTTGAATCACAAATTTGGTTGTATCTATTCAAATTCAGCTCAAGGGTCTTGGTTACATTTTAAATTCACAAAAGGTTGGAAATTATAAGAGGCAACTTATCGAGACTGGCTAAAATCAAGATAAACTATTATATAAATATGATAAAATGGTGTTCATATAAATTTATTTTTTTGAATTGAGTGAAATTTGAATTTCAAATTTAGGTAATTTTGGCACTGCATTTTGATATGTATCCTGTAAGCTAGACAACAGCGTCGCCATAATGCACAAAAATAAGCACTTAAATATTGTTGTTTGTAAATTTTGAAGCCCCTCATTGTGCTATAGTGTCACTCGATCAATATTTCATTCCGACCATCGTTTAATTATTCATTAAAGTCTTTTTTTTTCTCTTTCATTTAAAGTAACGCCATCTCCGTATCGTACAGCTGGCAGGAACGGAAGCAAGTCAGACGAAGAGAACGACGAAAAAGATATCACAAGCGCTATACGAAAAATCGAATTCTCTGTCAACCAAAACATCGCTACAAGAAGAAAAGTTTCTAGACATTCGCAAGAAGAAACGCCTCAAAAATCGCCGAAATCTGTCGAGGAGTCCAGTTTGAATACGGCTTCAGACATTAATCAAAACAATATAGCCGAAACAATTTCGAAGTCAAAATCACCTAAAGGCAAAGACATGGAAAGCGAAGGGAATGTGTTTAATGAACATAATGGGGACGTTTTTAGCTCGGAACAACAAAATGGCGAGATGCTAAACTTTGAAGGCGCTCTTGTGAAGGAAAATAGTAATGCGGAAAGTTCACTGAGCCCAGAGGAAAGTGAAACTACAGAGAATACTCCAGATGTAGTTGATGGAGCTGTCTTGGCCAAACTAGACACGGAATCCGCTACGGAATTGAATACAATTGAACAAGAAGAATCTAAACAAGCCGAGTTGGAGCCGGCTATTGACATAACAAACCCTTGTGACAATGAACAGTCCAGTGACCATCCTGAGTTCAGTGTTGAGAATTCAGAAGAACCTTCTTCTGAACAGGCACCTCCTGCCGAGGCTATAACGGAAGATCTCGATGTTGTGCCGAATGAATCTGAAATTGCGAAAAATGACAACGATGTGCCTTCAAAAGATGCCGAAATATCAGCGAGTATTCACGAAGTCCCTCCGAGTGATTCCGACGTTCCACCTTGTGATGCAGAAATCCCGGCGAGTGATACACAAGTCCTGCCAAATGATGACGAAGTCCCACCGAAAGATCCCGAAGTTTCTCCGGCGGTCATCCCCGAAGATTCGAAAACGTCCGAAAGCCCATCACCAACTCCGGAATCTACTAGTTCAGCTTCTACGACCCCAGATGTCCCGCAGAGTCCACAGAAATGCCCAAGTCCTAGCGGGAAGAAAGACGGCGTCGAACCTCCGAAGAAAAAGACGGGTAAAACGACCAAAGATCCAACTAAGACTAAGCCTGCTGGGACTAAAGCTCCAGCTAAGAAAGAGCCAGGGAGTACAGTGGGCTCACGACCGAAAAGTGCAAAACCATCGACACGGCCAACTGCTGATAGCTCGGCTGTGAAGAACACCAAGAGACCTACCAGTGCGGTTAAGTCCAGCACAACTGCAAAGTCGGGTACGACTACGAAGTCATCTACAACTGCTGCTGCTGCTAAAACCAAAACAACTGGTGATGGCAAACCATCCACTGCCGCATCAAAGACAAAGGCCCCACCTTCGGGCAAACCCACAACAACGAAAACGCCCAGTGGGAAAACCTCGCCGACTCATTCCAAGAAACCCACTAATAAACCTGACCCAAAGGCTACCCCCTCTACCCGGCCAGCACGACCTGCCAGAACCACCGCTTTTGGCTCGTCTGTGTCGACAGCTGCGGCGAAAAAACCCGCGCCCAAAACACGGCCTGCAACCGCACCGCCCGCAAGGAGTACCACCACTACTCAGGCAAAGAAGAAACCCGTGGCTGCCAAGGTGCAAACTTGGTCGAGTTCTGCTACAAGACCGCAGAGTGCAAAGCCTTCAACCAAATCTAAAGATTCGACAGACGGCGTGGCGACTAGCAAGGAGGCTGGAGGCGACAGACCTACGTCTCCAACTAAACCGCTGGTTCGTAAAACGCAGACGCGTACAGTGACTACGACTAAGACAACGCGCGTCGGAGCCGGTGGCGACCCTGAGACCAAGTCTCAGACATTGAAAACTACACGAACAGTCACTGAGGCGAACGGAAAGAAAACGACAAAGACTACTCACAAGGAAATATCCCCGACCGGACGAAAGCCCCTTCGTATGACAACCGAGACGACCGAGGGGGGAACTGGTGCCAAGAAACCTACCAAGGCCGTGACGGATTCGAAGGCTGGCACGAGAACGACTAAACCTGGGACTAAAAAGCCCGAAACGAAATTTGGCGCGAAGACCGGACCGAGTAGACCAACCAAGGAAACTGGGGCTAAGAAAGCTACGACAAAAACGGCTTCCAAGGGAAAGGAGGTCAAAGGTGAAATAAAAGGGGTACCTAAAGCTAAAACTGTTAAAGAATTGTCAAATGCTTTGGGTATTACTAAACCATCAGATGGAAAGGAAAAGGACGATAAGGATATTGAAATCGAACCGAAGGAAAGTGTGGAAAAGAAAGTGGAAGAACCAAGACCGGCAGAGACGCCTGAGTTGGTGCTTAAAGTTGAGACTGTGAAAGAATTGTCAGTTGCTTCGAGTATTACCATACTTAAAACATCAGATGGAAACGCGGATACGCTTGAACCGAAGGAAGAAAAAGAGGTGGAAGCACCAAGACCAGCGGAGATGCCTGAGTTGGCGCCTGCACAAATCGAGGAATCGCCGCAGGTGGACGAATCTGTGCAGGTTGAAGAGTCTGTGAAGGTGGAGGAATTTGTGCAGGTTCAGGAATGTGGCCAGAGTGAGGTGTCTCCGGAGGCTGAAGAAGTTGCGCCGGAGTGTGAGGTGATTGGGACTGACCAAGATGGTGAATCGGGGATAGTAAATGTCGAAGGTGGGATAGAAGAGGTTCCACAAGTACATGAAGATAGTGATGATAGTGAAGATATAGTTGAGAACACTGAAGAACAAAGTGTCCAACAAGAGAGCAACGAGATTGCTGAAAGTGCAGGAGATCTAGAAAATGCGAGCGATCAAAGAGAAGAAATAGACCACCGCGTTCTGATGAATGGAGATACAGTCGAACAATCTGCAGACATTGTGAGTGATGTGAATTTGGTGGATGTTGCCGAGGACATAAATATAGAAGACAAGATGGCTGAACCGGAACCTGCTGAACAAGTCGAAGAAAATAAGGACGAAATTGGGGATGAAATCGCTGCAAATGATGAAGAATCTGGTGAACCTATTATAGATTTTGTCCAGAAAGTTTTGACCGAAGCACACGAGGAGGAACTTCGGGATCCGTCGGAATTAATCGTTCAAGACTCTCCAGAACCTCGGAATTCGTCGGGGATCATCGACGACAGCCTGGAAGATGATAGTCTCGATATAATCGTAGTACCTGAAAGTGATGTTTCCTATGAAGAAGGCGCACTCCAGTCAACCGAAGCTTGGCCTGCGGTCAGTGTTGGTCAGGAGATAGATCTTCTTGGGGATAATAATAACGCGGTTGAGGAGACTGAACCCAAATTAAACCCATACCTGATCCCGTCCGGCGCTGATCCAGAAGAGCCTGCTGATTCAACCGCTGACCAAGATCTGTTTGATATCGGCGCAGATGGAAAAGCTGAACCCTTGTTCGTTGGAGATACAGGGAATACCGGTGAGCCAACCAATAGGGATTCGGGTTTCCAAGAAAACAATACAGTCGATGACCTCTTGGGTTAACCCAAATAGTAATTATCATTTCTAAGAAACTATTTATTGAGGATCTATTAGGAAAATTTTTGTAAAAATGTAGACACCCATTTACCAATTGTAGCAAAAGCAGGTAGGTTGATTTAAGTGATTTATATAGTGCTACATGTGGTGATCAGTGTCAAAATGTATTGACGCTTGTGATAGTGCTAAATGTTTACATTGCATGTGTTTGTATAGGAAATTATAATAGTGTGGTTTTTGGTGCAATTTGGCAGAAAAAAACAACAGTACGAGTGAGTTTTTAACTCTATGAAAAATATAAAAAAAATTATTAAGAAAATTCATGGTCACTTACAAACATCGAACTGATACGAAATATTAAAAGGTCGTGTTTACATTATAACGTTACGGCTATTCCGTTTAAAATTCACTGCGTTTCTTAGTATTGTGTTTACACTATAACGGAGTGGTTTGCCGTAGCTTATATCGAACTACGGACCACTACGCTTAGCACTCCGGATGCAAATCAATACACTACGGTAAATTTGCCGTGGCGTCATAGCCGGTAATCACGGCCTAAGAATTTTTAACGGAATGCTGGCCGTAGCGTTATAGTGTGAACGTGGTCTAAATAGCTTACTTACTCATTTGAACAGCACAACAACTTATTACAAGTTTTAACCATCAAAACTTTTTTCAAAATGTCTTTCCACGTGTTTCTTTCTTATCCAATCAGAGTTGAGTAATTTTAAATGTATATTATTAGCCACCAAACACAAGGGTCAATACATATGCAGTAATGAACAATATAGTCACTCCGATGTCTTGTTTTGCAGTTGAACACCATGTGTGGTATTGTACCACTTAATAGTAAAACCCGCCTGTATTAATAGGCAAATGATTTTAGGTCGAGATTTTAGATTTTCATAGGATGACTCGAAAATACTTTGATTTACGACTTGATTTTGAATGCCCTGTAACATCCTACTGGAAGCACGGTCGTGGCTAAAGGGGATGGACCAGAGGAAAGTTTTCAAGATGGCCGTCAGTTTTTAAGATCATTAAACATAAAAGAATCAACAATATTAAACTTAACCTCACCCCACACTAATACTGACGCAAAGTCTTATTTCAATTTTGGAATCATCTCGTAAACTACCTGTCGTCCATCCCTTTTAGACATTACCCTGGAAGCACGTCAAAACCTAACGTCTCGAGCACAAAAACGAAGCTCAAAAAAGCCAATGTGACGTATTTTCTGGAATTGTGTATTGTAATTAAGCGGCATATGGTCTGCAAACTCGGATAATTTCAAAGTTGTCTATAGTAGACTTCAAGTCAATTTTGAGACGACTTCACCATACACAAATCATTTGGAAATTATTTCCAAAGGAAAGTCAATTAAGCGATTCCAACAAGGTGATTGCTTCATTAAAATATAAAGATTCATGACCGAGTTTCCAGACCAAATGTTTGATTGAATGAAGACAATTTGCTGCAAAGTAGCAAAATTGATAAATTAATTCATCATCTGTTACCAGATATAGTTGTGGGAGGTGTGCCCAGGCAGTTTTCTTTTCATGCATTTATCCTGCTCTGATGAAAATTGATAATGTACACGACATAATGGCTCGATTTATGATAGGGACGGATGATCCGACTGCACGAAATTTGGCAAAGAAAAATAGTTCGCGACATGTCTTATCTGTGTAGAACGACGTCGACGGCTCGATCCGTCAAGACGAGCTATCTGTGTAGATTTCGTACACAGACAAACTTACGTGCACATCCAGGCGACATTGAAAAAGGTCGAAAACAACGAAACTCCGAAAGCGACTAGCGATGAGATATCAAAAGAGCGACGTGCATACCCACCCTAACAAATAGGCTTTTCCCAGATTGCAGAATTGGTAAAGGTCCATTTCCACTCAGGAAAATTTTCTGCGGAAAGAAAATTTTGCAAAATGTGATTGGCCGATACAAATTTTCCATCGGAAAAAAATTTTAAACAATGATATTTTCTGTCCGTGGAAAATTTTCTTGAGTGGAAAGGTCCAAATATCTAAATTGGATTGTTTTCAATAATTATTTGGTTAGCCCTGATTGTCTGTTGATGTGCCCTTTGATGTCCTTTGGGCTTTGATGTGCCCTTTGATGACATGATGTCCTTCGATGTGCCCTTCGATGTGCCCAACGATGTGCCCAACTCTGGCTCTGCAGTTTGGGCGTTTCTGTGCGTATAAATATTAAGACATTCGACGAACTATCAGGAAAATTTGAACTCGGGCTTTGTTTGCAAAACCCATAGATATCCTATGGCAAAACCACGTTGTGAGGGACTGTCCGTCTCTATGTCGAATAAATCGGGCCATTATTATACATGACTATATATACCTGTGCGCGCTATTATTGTATATGTAATTGTGCATATTCTTTAATTATTGGTCATAGTTTGTATGGTAAATATCATAAGTTATATGTTTGACTTGCAGAATAAATTATCACTGTATCGCAGAACGAAATTTTAGTATAGAATCTGAATGTGTGTATGTGCGCATTCAATACAGTATATAATTATTCATGTGTGCTTTCACTATAGTCTCTTCTATCAATTCCTAAAAGAGTGTACTGAACAGTACGTAAGAAATGACTACGTTTAATCTTTAACGGTTTGCGCCTGTGCTTGCGTTATTGTGAAATGTGAATCTTGTCTAATGCTTGTATATTTTTCTGCTGATACGACCAGGCATTACTGACAACATCCAACATTACTTCCCATACAAAAACGGATCAGATTCGTCCTTTCCTGTATGTTTATTTCCCTTTTTAGTTGCGCACGTGTATATATGTTTCAAGCACGCCACAAAAGTTGTGTCAGAAATTGACGTAACAAGGGACATAGGACAATGGTCCTATTACTCATCTTGACCCTTTGAACAGTTTGTATCAAACGTTTGCGAAGTGGGCTCTGGTAATAATGCATGACATCTGCGTGTTGCGACCGTGCTAAAAAACCCGGTACAAACCTCATGGTACAAACGGTACCTGGTACCAATTGCAAAATGACGTTGTGGCGTGTTGTTTACCATAAGAGAACAAAGCGGCATCAAAGGTCGAATGTGGCTGCAAATAGACTCCAACATTTCCCCTCGGATTGTCCGATTACGTGTCCTTCATTCTACGTTTAATTAATTAATTCAAGCATACTATGAAGAGATTATTGAAAGAAAGCCTTACAAAGATGTTATACAAAATGATAAAAAAATATTTGCATAAAATTGTACAATTTACATATAGAATTCAAATTAAACAATGGCGGAATTCTTTCTGAAAGCTTAGTACCTTATTATTTTGCAATTTGTGCGCACGGTCACGGTTAATTCTAAGTCTATTAATAACCGTGGTCAGATGAATGATTTGAAACACAAGCTCAAGTTCTTTTCCAATAATCTCCAGTTTCGGTTTCTCTGCACATTCAGTGGCGAAAACGGACATTTTGTCGCAAATTTTGACCTAAGAAAGGCTTCAAGCAGCCAATTATGAGCGTAAATTACAGCTTTGTCGGAAATTAGTAACTTTTTTTTTAACTGAATCGAGGGAAATACCAGAGGGCTTTTCCCTCCCTCCCCCTGGCCGGTCCTGACCGGTCAATGCTGTCATGTTTTGCTCACGTGTGACAATCATGCCGACTTGTAAATCACGCTGGTGACGCAATACAGACTTGAGGCGGCAGTTTTCCATTCATCAGAATGATGTTTAAAGTTAATATCTGGAAATAGTAACTGTGCCTACAAAATACTATGAGCAGTGCTTGGGAAGAAGTAACCCTTATTTTCAGGGTAGAAAAAATACCATAATATTAATAAACACAAATAATCGGTCTGAAAACAAAATGTTATGAAACATTATTGATCATCCCAAATTGATCAAAAAAGTGCATAAATTCCGGGTTAACACGATATGACGTAATTTGATTGTGAGTGATGGAAATTAATAGCATTCGTCTACAGCCAAAGATATTTAATTTCAAAATTGGAAGTGGAGTTGAAATATGAACACAAAACACTTCAAACATGATTCAGTCGTGGTCAAGACACCGTAGCGAGCAATGGCACTTCAAAGAGAAGAAAGTGTTGTGTTTTTAAAGACAATGTTTCGATGGTTTGGAGCGTTTTGCTCGCGTTCACCAGTGGAAATTTTGGTAATATGGCTGACAACGTTCGCTTGCTTTCTCACTTTGGGACTGTACGACCACTCGCTTATACCGAATTTTAAAGACCTCGACTCCAACGTGGTAAGTACTTGTGGGAAGAAATCGAACATACAGTAGTTTTGTATTGCTTTATATTTTATTATCTTTTAATACATTTTATTAAACGTATAAAATAGTAGTATGCTTACTCATCAAAATTTCAAAATTTATAGGTTATGTAATTCTATAAATAGGAGCATTTTCTGGGGATTTTTTTCGGAAAGTCTTACTAATTAAAGGCTGAACTAATGTAATGTCCAACACAATAAAGCCTCTAAAGTACTAAACCAAATAAACTTTTATGCTGGCAGCTCTGGGAAAAATGTCCTTGCAGCACCATAAATGCTCTTTGAAAATATCCAACATTTGACATTTCTGTGCTCAAGGAAAAAAGTATTTCCTGCACAAAATGAAAATTTTCAGTCTGAAACTTGAGTATGCACTTGCCAAAGCTGCAGTCTGGTCTGTAAAAAAACTCAGATTAATTTTTCAGTGCACATTTCCAATATCTGTATGCCTATTTTTAACTGCTGTAAACAGCCCTTTTGCAGCTTATCTACTCCCCATTGTTACACCAGAATAAAGTAATGAACGGTAAAATGCTTGTTATTTCATCTAACGAGTGGCAAAGCCTCTTATAAGTAGACTTTGATGTTAAGCTGGTACAAGCTTGCACCAATTTTGCTGCAAATTTTGACCTAAGAAAGGCTACAAGCGACCAATTATGAGCGTAAATTACAACTTTGTCGGAAATTGGTAACTGTTTTTTTTTTAAATCGAGGGAAATACCAAAGGGCTTTCCCCTCTCTCTCCTTCACCGGTCCTGACCTCTTGTTATTTAAGCAGACTTTAAGGTTAGCTAGCACAAGCTTGTACCAATTGTTGTGGAACAATAGCAACCTTGGATCCTTGTTTTTTTTAGTAATTTGAACCTACCATTTTTACTCAAGCTGCTAAAAAATGGTCCACTAATATATAAATGCTGTCAGATTTATTCTCGGACCTATTAGGGGATTTTGGACACAGATACATTTAACGTAGTTGCTGCCGAGCATAGCTCGGCAGCACACTAATCTCTACACGTGGTGTGCTTACCACGTGACCGCCGAGTTTATAGCCGCTACAATCTCGATTTATGTCATTCTGTCATCCACGGACGGGCCAAAACTAGCTGTTTTGATATTATTTTTTTGTTCCCGGGGGGGTTTGTTCACAACATGGCAACTGTTATAAACAGACAGAAATATAAAAATCATAAAATAATGCGAATTTCCATAAAAATTCCGAGTAATATTTGTGAAGATGAATGGGTAAATAAAGCACGGTGTTATTTTGTGTCTCTGGCGCAAGAATGATCGACAATATTTTGAATAATTCAGGTAAGGATGGCTTTATTCCGTTCTCGTATAGTGATGTAGTCGTGCCGTGTGCCCTGTCTACCTGTCTGGTGATATATTTTATAATACATGAAGGCATTTATATTTAAATCTGCTGTTTATACTTGTTTAGTCACTTTAGTGTATTAAACTTCGATATAGAGGCATTGAAACAAAATGATTTCAAGAATATATCGGCAATTATAATACCCACTGAATCACTGATCTATTCCCGACCAAATCGACAGTAATGATTAATGCCTTTATGCTGATACAAGAAGCAAATGAACTTTTAGTTTATTTGTTTGTTATGTCATTTAATATGTGCAAAGCCAAAGGCGGTGAGTATATAATAGTGTTCGGTGCGTTCTATTTCTAAATGTTTATAGTTTAAAAACAAACGCGGGATGTTGTTAAATCAGGCTTAACAAGATTCCTAGAGCTACCCAGTGTGGATTGTTGTCTGCATATATGGACTTATCAGCAATTACATGTAATATAGCATATCAACTGACTTTTGTATAAGATATGACTTGTATAAGGCCTCAGTTATATATAAAGCCTATAAACATGATTCTACTGACATACATTGATATATACATATAGCTGTGTTACCACAATAATGCTCACAACTTCAACTTCTTTCTAACAATATAGTTTTGCAGTTCTGACTGTTCTGAGTATGATCTTATTCATTCAGAAATATAAGCATTGCACTGTATTCAATGGCAAGCTATCCTGGATTCCAGAGCCTTCAGTTAATAATAAATTGAAATATCGTGAAGGCTCTGGTTCAACGGGAGGATTCTTTGATTAAACTGTGCGAATCACAAAACAGAATTAGCAGTTTTAGTACAGATTTTGGGCGTGTTAACCCATTAAGCGCCAGCGCTCTCCCCTTGACGAGTAAAATCGTCTGGCGTTAGACAGAGTAAAATACTCTGGCGTTAGACAGAGTAAAATACTCTGGCGTTAGACAGAGTAAAATACTAAAGTAGGGTGCATCAGGGTGCAATGCGACCCAATGGGTTAAATAGACACATGGGCAGATAGATCAGTTAACCCATTAAGCACCAGCACTCTCAAGTAAAATCGTCTGGCGTTAGACAGAGTAAAATACTGTTCAAAGTAGGGTGCATCAGGGTGCAATGCGACCCAATGGGTTAACTAGACACATGGGCAGATAGATCAGTTAACCCATTAAGCGCCAGCACTCTCCCCTTGACGAGTAAAATCGTCTGGCGTTAGACAGAGTAAAATACTGTTCAAAGTAGGGTGCATCAGGGTGCAATGCGACTCAATGGGTTAATATAGTACATAACATAGGTCATAGACATACAGTCTCAATACAATACAAAATGATTTTGAACAACGTCAAGGTCAATGAAATCATACAAAATGAATTTATGGAATATCAATTAAATGTATTTAAAACAAACATAATTTCAACATCCCAATAAGCAATAACATCCCAGTAAGTATAAATTCAACTATTTTAAATCAATTGTTTGAATAGCCAAATTAAAAGTTGTACGAGTGACAAAATCATTCAATAATATCCACATTTTATCATTTGTATTATGTGTCAACTATCAAAGTCGCACTGTTAAGTATATTAAAATATACTTTTCATAAGGTTAGATGTAAGATATAATTGTACGAAGGTAACTGAGGAACGACGATGTGTAAGACAATAAATCATACATACAGTGAAAAACGCTCTTTTTGTAGCACATCCTACATGTACATATCGGCAGCATTTTCCTTGCGATAGTAACTCCTAGTATAAGACTTTATTTTTAGCCAATTACAATTAGCCAAGGGGAGAATCCCTGGTGCTCAATGGGTAACTTATGTAAATTTGTAACAGACTGATGGGCAGTTCAAGACATGGACATTGGGCACAGCAAGTTATGTTCTCACCATCTCGTATCTGTATTTCCGATGCATGAAACTTCTCAAGGAGGAGTCAAGAGCTCTTGTAGGTAGGTATTTTAATTTCTACCAAGCAGAGGTGTACTTTTAAAAGTCTGTGCCGCAGATGCCTTGAAAAGTTTCGTTGTTATGGGAGTCTGTGGAGATTTGTGCCATGTCGTGTTCCATAACAAGGCATGATTTATTTGAACAAATTTAATGATTCCAGAATCTTCAATTTATATAATTAATTAAGCAAATTTATTAGGATAATTTGACCTTTGGACTTTCTGTGGTCCTCTCAATAAAGTAATATCAAATTACATATTGTTCCCACAACATACGATCACATCACTCAGCAGGTGACACTGTGTCTTTAACATACAATAATTTCCCCTTGACATGTCAAATGTCACAAATTGATTAAAACAATATAGCATTATTGCATCATAATGAGGCCCTGTTAGACATTATTCAGGCCCTGTTAGGCCCGACAGGCAACATTGCCTCGAAATGGCAACATATACTCATATAGAAAATAAAATAGCAACTTTGGACACAAACTCTATCTAAACTCTGACAGTAATATGGAAAAGAAGGAGAACAGTGATGAAATTTCAAAAGCAACATGAAGCCCATTTTCCACTAGGTGAATTTGTTTGCGTGAACAGTAAAAAATTAGGAACTGATCCAACTTTTTCGTGGCAAATTTTTTTAGCTGACCAATCGCATTGCCAAGATTTGTTTTTTCGCTTTGTGCGAACAAATTTGCCTTGTGGCAAATGAGCTTTACAATGGTTTCAAGCAGCGATAATATTTGTTTTGGGAATCTGACAAGTGACATCATCCAACCCTATCAGGGCCCCAAAAAAATAAAATTGCATATCACTTTTCTAAATGATGTGCAAAAAACCACATTTTTAAAAAAAAGTTGCACATCATTTTTCCTCAACTAATTCGAACCCTGCTTGTCTTTAGGGATGACGATTATGCATATCATTGTATCGTCATTTATATTTGTCTCCACCTTGCTGGCATTATTTGGTAAAGACTGGACTCACATCAGGTATTAACTCGGGCATATGGAATTTGTTCACGGCAATTCAAGTCTGTATTTTGATGGAAATGCTGGAGG